TGAGCTATAAAGAAGTTGGAGAGATCACCTTGAAAGGAGTGATCTTCCTCATCTTTCTTGTGTCCTAAAAGATATGGGAGGAGAAGATGGAGGAGTCCATAGACTAAACAACTTTAGAGACATCAAGGAAGATGAGAACTGGAAAAAAAAAGAGCCCTGGATTGATTAAGAGATCCATGGTAGCCTCTTAGGGAGAGAAGTTTAGGTTTGAAGCCCGATTGTAAGAGCCTGAGAAGTAAGTAGGGTAGTCAGGAAGTAGGAGTTCACTTGGAGCCAGCTGTGAAGTGTAGACAATTATTTGTAGGAGTTTGTCAGTGAAAGAGAGGAGAGAGATCAAGGTGGATAGCTTAAGAGGATGGCTAGACCAGTGAGGGTGGAGTAAACCCAAATATGGGTTGGGATGTGGGGCCTGGAGAAAACAGATGAGCGTGGGAGTAGGGGGAGGAGAGGAAAGAAGGATAGAGTCAGAAGATGAAGAGATTAAAGTTGAGAGATCAGGAATGATTAAGGAGACAAGGTCCTGGGGTAAACTATAGGGCAATCCTTGGGCAAAGAAAACCACCTCTTTCTCAAAGACAGGAATAAAGGAGAAAGTGAGGGAAGAGGGATTTTGATGTATGAAGTTGAAAAGGAACTCACCGAATATGGCCTCTATTTTTCAGTAAGGAAGGAGATAAGAACCTCTGTTGAGGGCAAGGTGGTGTTTGAGAAGGTATTAAGAGAGAGCTGATGTATGGAAGAATCACTGAGAAGAACGGGGTAAAAAAATCTATCAAGGAAAAACAGAAACTATTGAGATAGCAATGTGGGAGTATGAGCACACCAGGCAAATCGTGCATGTGTATGTGTGTGTGTGTGTGTGTGTGTGTGTGTGTGTGTGTGTGTGTGTGGTGACTCAGAGTCAAGGACTGGTCGGGCATGAATGGTGGCACAACAAAGGGGCATAGGCCGTACCAATGAAAGGTTTCAGTTGCAAGTGTGATGGGAATTTTTTTTATTTCCTTTTATTAATTTTTATTATTTGGGGCTCAAGGCCATCCCTCCTGCAACTTTTGATTATCCCATAACATAAATCAGATGGAAAAGTTCCATGGTCCTTGGGGCTCAATGGCAAAGCAGATAGTAATGCTTTTTCTTTAATGCCATTTCCCACACTTGACAATATGTTGAAAGGAGCATCAATAAAAACATTTTTAAAAGAATGAAAACAAGGCCATTCCACTACTGAATTCCTTTAGAAAGGGGAGAGAATGAGCTGGAAGCCATCAGATGTCTGGGATGATGAACAAGGATGAGACTAAGGAAACTCAACGTTCATGCTGAGTAATGAGGGCTAAGAGATAACACGGAAGTAATAAGTGAGGAACAATGAGCACGTCCATTTGTCCTCATGGTTCAGTGTGTCAGTGAGTGAGGGGAAAAGGCAACCAGCCCAGAAGAGGGGGGCCAGTGACCGATTATCTTCCAAAGAGCTAGGGTTTCCACGAAAGCAAGAAAATGGAGACTATAAGAAGAGACTGAGGATAAATGGCAATTGTTAACTACTGAGTGGGAGGTTTAGAGTGCAGAATGGTAAGAGACTGGGGAGTGGTAAGCTTGAGTTTGTGGCCATGAGAATACAGAGAAAAAAGGAGCATTTTGCCCCAAGAGACATTAACTTAGAATCCTTTTGACTGAAGGAATGATTTTTCTAGCCATGTACAGGTAGGTGGCAAGGAGGTACAAATCTGCTGACCAAAGGTAGCAATTGTTTGAGGTCTCTCACTTCCAAGGTTATGTGAAAATGGAAGGTGGTGGTGGCCTTGACCTGATGTTCCCTTTCCAAACACAAGATAGTTGGAAGTGGGGTGACAAGCCAGAGAAAGTAGGGAATTCAAGCTAGAGGCCTAGGTGTCCAAAACTGAACTGAACCCCTGCATGGTTCCAACTTAGTAGATCTACCCCAAAATGGTAGGGAATGGGATTACACTCCTGAAATAAATGCAACATGCCCTCAGCTCTGGGCAGGGCCTTGTCTTTTTGTCATTCACTTAGGTCTGAGGCATCAAGTCAGGGTAACATGATGCATTTAGCTGAGGCCCCAGCCTTTCCTGCTCCAAGCAGATATAGCTCCTGCACTCATTGAGTTTACGATCTAATAATACACACAGGTAGTTATAATACACGAGTGCATCACAGTAGTATGAGACAGAAGGCTATGAAAAGGGATGTGATAGAAGGGGTCCCCACCTTGGGGCAGCCAGGTGGTGCAGTGGATAGAGCTCCGGTCTTGGAGTCTCACCAAAAGCAAAAAAAAAAAAAAAGGGGGGGGGACCCCACCCACCCTTTCCCTGAGTAGATTAGGTTAGTTCAGGGATGGGGAACCTGCAGCCTCAAGGTCACATGTGGCCTTGTAGGTCCTTGGGTTCGGTTTTTTGACTGAATCCAAACTTCACTCATTCAAAAGGCCATACCCAAGGACCTAGAAGGCTACATGTGGTCTCAAGGCTGCAGGTTTCGCACCCTGGTTAGTTATTTTCCTAAAAATCGAGGAAATTGTCCCCAAGATTTGATTGGCTGAGGCTAGGGCTCAAGCCACCTAGCTCTTGATTCAACTTCCTGGTTGAATCCTGTGACCTCAGGCTATATTGAGGTAACTTCCTGGTCACCTAGCAGGTGTAAAAAGACCCTAGTGCAAAGAGTAGGGGCCCTTTAGGCTTGGCAGATATCCACACCCTGCCCTGGTGACCAGACAGTTTTCCAGATGGAGGTGAGTCAGATGAGTTAGCCACTTCCACCATTACCTTTCCAACCAGCCCCACTCCCCCACCTCACCTCTCCCTCCCAAGTCTTGCTGATTCGCTCTCCTCAGTATCTTTCTCATCAGTTCCACTTTCTTCCCTCACATGGCTACCTACCACTCTTGCACAGACTCTCATATTTCAATTGGACTATTGCAACAACCTGTTTCTAGCCTCTTCCTTCTCTGATCCATCTTCCACATGGCTGCCAAAATATTTTTCCTAAAAGCACAGGTGAGACCATGCCACTTCCAAGCTAAAGAATATTCTATGACTTTCCTATGCCTCTAGGATAAAATACAAATTCTTCATCTTGGTATTGAAGATTCTTTTCTAGTCTGGCTCCCAGCTACCTCTCCATACTCAGTTCACAATTCTGCCCTTCACATGTTCTACTTCAGTAGTCTCTCAATTTTTATGTTCATATACTCGCATCAGCATAAAATTTAGAGTATGTACATTTTGCTTATTTTTATAAATTATGCATGTATATATGTATTACTATACTAATAATTGTATGCATTATATGTGGAAATATGTTTAATATGATTCAGATTGCTTGCTGTCTTGGGGAAGGGGGAGGGGAGGGAGAAAAGAATTTGGAATTCAAAATCTTATAAAAGTGAATTCCGAAAACTAAAATTAATTCAGTAATTAGTTAAAATGATTATGCACATTGTAAAATACAAAACACAGTAATGTAAAAAGGATGAGATAAAGATGTAATAATATTTGATTCTAGAGTCAGTCGGGAGCCCATTGTCATTTCATGAGTAGGGGAGCACCATAGTCATACCCACCCTTTAGCCAAATCCGTATGTGTCTGTGTGGGGGATAGATTGAAAAGGAAGCAGACTAGAGGCAGGAAAGAAGGTGAGAGGTGAAGAGGCCCTTAATGAGGGTGGGGCTGTGTGAGAATAGAAAGGGGGTTAGACAGTAGAGATGTAGAAGAGGTGGAAAGGATGAGATTTAGCACCTGGTGGGTGATGTGGGCTGAGGGAGAGTGAGCAGGCAGGTGAATGGAGAGATGCTGATGTCTGAAAGTAAGAGGAAAATGTGGAAGAGGTGGTTTGGGAGGGGAAGAATGTCTGTGGTGAAGAGCACAACCCATCCACACCTGTTCATTCTAGTCCACTCCCTTTGCCTCACCCAAAACAAACATTTTTATCTCATCCTTTTTACATTTCTGTGTTTTGTAATTTATAATGGATATAATCATTTTGACTAATTAGTTAGTTAATTAATTTTAGTTTTCAGCATTCAGCATTCACTTTTATAAGATTTTGAATTCCAAATTCTCTTCTCCCTGCCCTCCACCCTCCCCAAGACAGCAAGCAATCTGATATAAGCTATACATGTACAATCATATTAAACATATTTCCACATATAATGCAGATAATTATTAGTATACTAATACATATACACATGCATAATTTATAAAAATAAGCTGAGTGGGGCTGGTAGTCATCAATCACTGCCCTCTGCTGCAATGTGGGGGACAGAAGGTGGGTATGAGGATTTGGGGGATTTTTCCCAACGGAGCTTATACAGCTGCTGCTTGGATGGATGGATAGGTGTTAGGTTATACTATCCCCTTGAAGGGAATGGGTTGGAAGCAGGGAGAGATAGAGAGGAGGGAGAGGAAAGAGTGAAGGTTTTCCTGTTGAAGACATGCCTCATTATTGGCTATTGCGGAGAGAGTGGACACAATTTATTTTCTGACCTTCAGATTGATGACCACTCTGGGGCCAGGGCATCGTTCCTCTGGGAAGCCCTACACAGCCCCTACTTTGGAGATCATTGTTGTACTTTCCAGCTAAGCCAACCTATTTGGTATTCCCTGAACTCAACATTCCATTATTCCTCCATGTTTGAAATGCGTGCCCTCCTCACCTGGGACTCTTTAGAATCCTTAGCTTCCCTCAAAGCTCAGCTCAGGTGATTCTTGCTGTGGAAAGCCTTTCCCGACATCGGAGACATTAGCGTTCTCCCTCTTCTTATTATCTTATAATTTACTAACCTGTGTACATATTGTTTTCTCCAGTAAAATGTAAGCCGCTTGAAAGCAGGGACTGATTGCTGTTTTGTCTTTTTTATTCCCAGCATCCAGCATTGTATCTTACATAGTGCACTTAATAGATGCCTGTTGAATCGAACTTGAGTTTTGTGGACCTCCTGGGCTGAGCACCCTTGACCTCCTCTCTCCTTTCCTCCCTCCAGCCCTCTGGAGAGCAGTCATGTCGACCCTATTGGATATCAAAAGCAGTGTGCTGAGGCAGGTCCAGAGAAGCCAGTCTTTTCGAAGAAGAGCCGATGAGGCAGCCGCATCTGGAGCAGCAGCAGGACCCAGCTCCTCCCAGCAAGAAGGTGGGCCTGAGACAAGCATGGCCAGGTGAGCCCTATAAAGGCAGGGACCTGCTGAGTCTACAGTGCCCAGGTGGAACAGATCTTCTTCCAATCAGCCCTCGATTGGCTGGGGGGATGGGCGAATGTTATAGTTTCTTGTATAACAGTACTAATCTTACCAGTTTCAATCGGCAAAAGCCATTTACACCTCCAACACTTTTAGGACTAAGCTTGCTTCCCTCTCTTGACATCACCCAAACTGTTGCTGTTTTCTAAAATGCTGCTATCTGGATCCCAAGCCAAATGAGAATCCTGTAAGAGTTGACAATTCATATAGGGAGTGGTCTACAGATACATGAGCAGGTGGCAATGGGAGGTATTAAGAAGGTTTAGCATTTATCCTAAGCAAGAGGGAAGAGCCAGGAGGAGTCCTACTTGACTTTGGTTAAGATTTATTAAGTGCCAGTTATTATGGAGAAGGCACTGTGCTAGGCACTGGGGATGCAATGATAGGTACATTGTGGGGCTTGTTCTCCAGCTGTCTACGATCTAATAGGTAGTGAAGGAGGATCAACACACAGACCAGCCAATCAATCAACAAGCATTTATTAGACACCTGCTGTGTGCCAGGGGCAGCCAAGTGGCACAGTGGATAGAGCACCAGGCCTGGAGTCAGGAAGACCTGAGTTCAAATCCAGCGTCAGACACTTACTAGCTGTGTGACCCTGAGCAAGTCACCTCACCCTGTTTGCCTCAGTTTCCTCATCTGTAAAATGAGCTGGAGAAGGAAATGGCAAACCACTCTAGTATCTTTGCCAAGAAAACCCCGAATGGGATCACAGAGAGTTGGACACAACTGAAACAACTAAACAACAACAAATGTGCCAGGCACTGTACCAGGTGCTACATGAGAGCTACAGAGACAAAAATGAAATGGCCCCTGCCCTCAAGAGCTTACATTCTGCCATTTTGAAAAAAGACCAAAAACTGTGATACAGTAGAGAGTGAGAAGTACAAAGGAGAGGTCTTGGCAAAATGTACAAGAAACCGGAGGAAGGAGAGCATATTTAACCTGGTCAAAGTGGGGGGAGAAGAGCTCATTTTACAGATGAGGAAACTGAGGCAAACAGGGTGAAATGACTTTTCCAGGGTCACAAACCCAGTCCTCTGTACACTGTGGCACCACCTAGAGCCAGTGAAGGTTTGTGAGGTGTGACATGATCGACACTGTCACCCAGCTACATGTAGGATGAATGGGAGAAGGGAGACTTGAGGGCAAGATCAGCTAAAAGTCTAGTCCTAGCTGGTCCCTCTTAATGTAACTGGCCAATAAGATTGATAAGTAGGAAACCTACTAACTAGGAAGCCCTCAGCCTACTCCCCAGCTAGGGAAAGGTCCTTGCCTCACTATATAAGTCCGCCATCTTGATTTTTTATGAGCTTCCCATTCAGTCTGCAACCAAAACAATTTTATTCTCCCAGGATGCTTTAGCAGGATCAGGTGGCCTCTAGATCTCATCTGATCATTCTGATGTGGCTTCTTAATAGGTTTATAAGGGATGAATTCTAGGCAATAGATACGGGACACTTTTACCAGACCTCACCCTTATGCTCTGCCTAAATGTCCTTCAACAAACTACAGCCTGCCCCAACCAGGACAAGGCATCGCAAAATCTCATGTGACATTTGCATGAATTGAACCTCACTGAAGATTAGAAATGTTCCCTCCCAGAAGGCTGTCCCTACAAGGTTACGGGAGGCAGCTCTGTTCTTTCTCCCTGCTTTCCTAGTTAGTCTTGTCCAGGTGACAATTATACTCATTCCCCTCCTGCACAGAGATTTAGATTTATCGAAGATGATAGAGTTAGAGATAGAAGGGGGTCTTTAAAAAGGCCTTCGAATCCAATTCCCCTCTTTTGAAGAGGAGAAAAATGAGGCACAGAGAGATTAAGTGATTTACCCAGAGTCACACAGCTAGTAAATCTGACATAGAGTCTGAACTCAGATCTCTTGATCTTCAGGTCCGGGACTCTCTCTACTAATGCTACAAGTGCTACCCACAGCTGGTGAGCGTTTATAGAGCACTTAGACGTTTGCAAAGTGTTTTATAGATGTTTCTCATTTCATCCTCACAATAATCCTGTGAGGAAGGTGCTGTTATTATCCCCATTTTACAGGTGAGAGAAATGAGGCATAGCAGTAGTAAGTGACATGGCTAGGGTCACACACTAAGTATCCAAAGCAGAATTCAACCTCAGGTTTTCCTGCCTCCAAATCTAGGGCTCTCTCCACTACCCCATGTTGTCTCCATGGCCTGCCCGGGTATAGAAGGAGCTAAGTTCAATGGTGCAGTGAATGGAGCGTTGAGCTTGGAGTCAGGAAGACTTAAATCTTGCCTCTTACATTTCCTGGTGTACTTACTAGTGACACTAGCTTTGTGACCATGGACATGTCACTTAACTCTGTCTCAGTTTCTTCATGTGTAAAATAGTGATAATAATACCACTCACCTCATAGGGTTGTTCTGAGGATCAAATCAAATGAGATTGTGTAGGTGAGCTTTGGAAACCTTAAAATGATATATAAATGTTGCTAGTTTTATTATTTAGGGTGTGGACTGGAAGTCTTGAGGATTGTGCCTGTCCTAGACCCATTTCCTTAGAGGACCTCAGTCTCCTCTGCATCCCTCAGGCTTCCCTACATTCCCCCTCAGCTGCAGCAGGAGGGATAGGATCCTGGGGAGAAGGCTTGGTTTGTCTGACTCAGGCTTTGACAGCAACAACTGTTCCACGGCAGATTAGTGAAGCCAACCTGCCCTTTTTAGAAGGAAGATGAAATGTCAGATCTGTAGTGTTCTGTGGCCCTGGCATCTCTTCCTTCTGGGGAGCTATTTTTATAACCTCCAAGGCTTTGTAGACACAGTGTGCCTAGGTTATGAGTCTGCCTCAACAAGAGCTGTAACACCTGTCGGTTCTACAATGTAAAGAAAGAAGAGTCAGATCCCTTCGCTCTCTGTCTTCAGTTTTCTTCTCTACAAAAATGGAGAAGCTGGTCTGGATTCCCTCTGAGGCTCCGTCCACAGCAGACAGATGTAGGATTGTACTAAATCCTCTCCTCCAGGCTATACCTTCCTTATTGTAGGATGGGAATTAATGCCATCTCTGGGAATGTCCAAAGACTGAGCCTCCTCCCTCTGCAGCTCACCCACTGCAAACTCCAACTTTCACTAAAAGGAAGTTCTCCCCTTACATTTACCCTAAATCTCTCCTGTTACAGTTTTTCTGAAATTAAAAAAATTTTTTTCAAATAACCAAGCATTCATTTTCTCTCTCCAACCTTCCCTCCCCACCATGGGAAAAGAAAATGAAAACCCTCATGACAAATATACATAGTCAAACAAAGCAAGTTCCCAAATTGGAAATAAAAACATCTCATTCTTCATCTTTTGTGTTTCCCATGTCTGAGGGTGGCAGACTCTATCCTCTCTGTCTTCTGGGATTGTAGCTGTCATTGCATTGATCAGAATTTTTAAGTCTTTCAAAGTTTGTTTTCCTTTATGATGCTGTTGTCTGGTACTGACTAAGAAATAGAGTAGTGGATCAGTGGAATAGGTTAGACGCACAAGACATAGTAGTCAATGACTATAGTCATCTACTGTTTATAAACCCAAAGACCCCAGGTTCTGGGATAAGAACTCACTTTTTGACAAAAACTACTGGGAAGACTGGAAAAGAGCATGGTAGAAATTAGGCATAGGCCAAAATCTTACACCATATACCAAAATAAAGTCAAAATGGGTATATAATTTAGATATAAAGGCTGATACTATAAGCAAACTGGGAGAGCAAGGAATAGTTTATCTGTCAGATATATGAAGAACAGAAGAATTTATGACCAAACAAGAGACAGAGAACATTGTGAAATGCAAAATGCATAATTTTGATTACATTAAATTAAAAAGGTTTTGCACAAACAAAGCCAATGCAAGCATGATTGGGAGGAAAGCAGAAAACTGGGAAAGAATTTTTATAATCAGTCTCTCCCATAAAACCTCATTTCTAAACTATATAGAGAACTGAGTCAAATTTATAAGAATACAATGCTGTTGTCGCTGTATACATTATCCTCCTGGTTCTGCCTACTTTCCTGTGCATCAGTTTGTACAAGTTATCCCAAGTTTCCCTGAAACCATCCCCTTCATCAATTCTTCTAGCAGAATCGTATTCCATTACACTCATAGGTCATAATCTCATCCATCCATTCCCCAATAGATGGACATCCTCTTAGTTTTCAGTTTTTTGCTGTAGCAAAGGAGCTGCTGCAGTTTCAAGCCCATTTTCCCTTTGATTTTTTTCTCAGGCAGGCTAAACAACTATTCACCATTCTCCTCTATGAGGAGTTTTCACAGCCTTGAGGCCCATTCTGACTCTCTTCCCCTGCCACCTGCCTCTACTCTTCAGGCAGAAATCATTTTTGTTCCTTTCACCTTTTCCCATTTCTTCTTTTGTGTCTGGGGAGCACAAAAGAGGCTGACTGACCTCTCCGGGCTACTCACTGATGAGAGATGTTCGGCCTTCCTGAAATCCAATCAGGGAATTCAAATCAGCTCTGTTTCATAAGAAGCCCACTTCAAAAGGTTTGAGCATTGTTGAGAAGGAGCCCGATAGAAAAGAGGGGTTGAGGTCACACATTTTCTTCTCCCCTCCTTCCCTCCCGCCGCATGTCCTGTTTTCTTCACTGGCTTTTTATTTTTTCCATAAACAGAAGGAAGGGGTGGGAGTCATGGGCTGGCTGCAAGAGAAGGTCACCGAACTGGCATTGAGCTCCTCTCCCATCCCCTTCCCAGAGTCCTCTTTTCCTCTTTATACCTGCCCCCCTCCAAGCCCCATTCCTCTCCACGAATACCTTTCCTCTCATTCAGTTGGAGGACAGAGGCCTCAGAAGGAGAAGTCATTTACATTTTTAGATATCTGCTCTGAAAGCTAGCTAGTCCTGCCTAATGTCTCTTTACCCCAGCGTGGCAGGGCAGGACACCATCTATGCCCAGGTAAAATTGTCATCTCCTAGAAATAGTGGAGGTGGCAGTTTGCTGAGGATGTATTCTACTAGCCTGCCTTGCTGATTGAGCCCCATCAACCTGGGACCTCTGTTCTCCCATCGTTTTACTGGGTTGGTCACAGATAAACAGAATGAATGCAAAGGGGTCAAGGCACCTAAATTCTCCCCCTGGCCTGGTTGCTGGTTCCTGTGTGACTCTGGACAAATCACTGGACTTTTCTGGGACTCAATCTATCCACCTAGAAATGAGGTAGGCAAGATGGGGGTGAAGGTAGCAAATCCATGCAAATCCAGATAGAGAGAAAAGTAAGAGGGATAATTGGAAACCTCAGGAAGGCCTCAACGACTGGAAAGGCTGTTTATTCCTGGAAACAGCACTTTGTAAGACACGTTGTGACGTAATGGGAAGAGCACTAGTTTTGAAGTCAAGACATCTGAGTTCAAATCCCACAGACTCTGGACAAGTTAATTGACCTGTGGGCCAAAAGGAACTCCCTCTCTTCCTTCCTTAAATCCCTTCTGTGATCCTGTCGAGCTCTTAGTATTATAATACTGTGATCTTCTAGAAGGCAAACACCCAGGCTGCTGAATCTGAGCTTGGAGCTGGGGACCACTTGGTCCTTGCATCAGCCAACATATGTGACAAAAATCATGTATGTATTTCCTTTATGTCCGTCATCTCATGGCGTCCTCATAGCAGCTTTGGGAGGCAGTCAGGGCAGCTTCAATATCTCCATATGGCTCATGAGGAAATGGAGGCCCATCTCCCAGGCAGCGTGGCATAATGGAAAGGGTTAGATCTGGAGTTGGAAAGCATGGGGCTGAATCTTGGTTCTTCTGTTTTCTGGCTGTGTGACCCTGGGTGAGTCATTTAACTTTTTGGAGCCTCAGTTTTCTGAAACTTTAAAAAGGGGTGATAATAATTGTGCTACCTTCTTCACAGGCTGTTGTCAGGAAAGAGCTTTGTAAACTTCAAGATACCATAGAAATGTGTAGCTATTGTTGAAACGGTTATTCTCGGGATTATTATTGCTGGAGGCTGATGGCTAGGGCTGGGGACAGATATGTACCTGCTGGGATTTGCTGACCCAGACCCCAGACCTACTGTCTTGGGGGAAGATTCAGTGGCTCACCCTGAAACTCCCTACCTGTGTCATCCTCCAGGGAGGAAGGAGACGATGGTGACTTCTTTTCGAAGATGAAATTGATTCTGAAGAAGAAGGAAACCAGGCAGCGTTTGGGGCGGTTGGAGGTGAGAAGGGCAGTTGGGCCAGAGGGTTTGGCCTCTCCAGTGCCTGTCTCCCCTGGCATTCTCTAGATAGCTCCGCAAAGCTATTTCCCTGTGGGGAGCTGGCATCTGCACGGCTTGCACTGGGCAGGGAGGATGGTTTCCAGTGGTGGGAGCCTGAGGCTCCGTAATCCAGCTGCTCATAGAGATGTAACCCACATGTCCAGCTCTGACATTACAGGTCCTCTAATGTAGGGATTCTTAGCTCAGGGTCCTAAACTTTTTTATTTTATTTTATTGGTTTCCTTTAAAATCCTATGTATTTTGTTTCATGCATTTAAAAACCTGTTCTGAGAAAAGGTTCGTAGGCATCACCAGACACAAAAGAGGTTGAGAATTCCTGCTCTGGTGTGACTTGGCTGCCGAAAGTACCCCTATCCCTATATGCCAGGGGGTGGCCACTTAGAGTCTGGGGAGCCAGCTGCTTCCTTTTCTAGGAGGGGAGGTTAGATGAAGGGAAATCCTTTTGCCCCACTAACACCTTCCTACCTCCACCTCCCTCTCCCTGTTTTGGAAGCAACAGTTGGAAAAAGAGGTTAGTGATGGAAATAGCAAGAAGGCAGTACTATAGCCCCACTCCCCATGTACTCAGTGAGCTAAGGGACTGGGAACTGAGACAGCTCTGCCTCCTTTCCCCTTCCCTATCCCAGCTCTCCTAGCCTCTTCTTTGGAGGAACCCATGCTCCACTGATCCCCATCTTCCTTGCAGGGTGTCTTACACAGCAGTGCCCCTCCTCCTAGGGAGCCCCTGGGCCCTGGCCATGATGCTGAAAGCCTGGTGCCAACCAAGAAGGAGGTAATGGAAGGAGCACATCGTGTCCTACTCTTTAACTCTTCCCTGAATATACTGGGATGTGGGGAGGAGGGCCAGGTCTGCTCTCCACAGCACAGGGGTTCTACTTTGGGAGGTCGGGGGGCTTTAGTCCCCTGGCCTTGGTGGGCTGGGTGTCTGGTGTTCCAAGCCTAGGTGCATCCTGCTGGCTGGGGGCCTGTGGACAAGAGATCGTACAATGTCTCATCCCACCTGGCCTCACCCATTCCCCACATCCATAACAGATGGAAATGCTCTTCGAGGAAGCCCTGTACACTGTATGCTACAGATCAGGGGTGGCATCCCCAGAGCATGTGGCCAGTGAAGATGAACTTTTTGACTATCTTCAGAAGGTAAGTGGAGAAGAGAGATCCCCTGGATACCACCTTCCCTCCAGTCCTGACCCAGGGAACCTCTTGAAAAAGGGAAAGCCCATGAGGGAGGGGCTTACTTAAGTGTTGATCCCATTTCCCTACCCCCAAAAGGGTGATAGAAGAAGAGTGAGTCTATCCTGGTCCTCAGGGTACCCTCCAGAGCGGGATGTCAGAGGGGCTCTAGCTTGGGTAGGGTGGTGATAGATTTGTCTGCCCTTTGGGGAGTTTCCTTAGATTTTAGTTGGCCTTGTATTCAACCAGCAAATATCAGAAATCCCAGTCTCATTTAGGATGCCTGTCCTGGAGGCTCCTCCAGGAAGGATAGGAGCTAGTGGTTCATAAGTACCTTCCCTTGAGATTGGCACTAGTCCCTGCCCATTAAAGTAGACTGATGGACAGCCAAGATACCAGGCCAGCATGAGGGGGAGAGAAAGAGGGAGGGAGAGAGGGGGGCGGAGAGAGAGAGGGAGGGAAGGAAGGAAAGAGAGAGGGAAGGAAGGAAAGAAAGGGAGGGGTAGAGAGAGAGGGAGGGAAGGAAGGAAAGAGAGAGAGAGAGAGGGAAAGAAAGAGAAGGGATAGAGAGAGGAAGAGGAAGGAAAAGAGGGAAGGAAAGAGAGGGGATAGAGAGAGAGAGGGAAGGAAGAAAAGAGAGAGAGGGAAGGAAGGAAAGAAAGGGAGGGGTAGAGAGAGAGGGAAAGAAAGAGAGAGAAGGGATAGAGAGAGGAAGAGGAAGGAAAAGAAGGAAGGAAAGAGAGAGAGGGGATAGAGAGAGAGAGAGGGAAGGAAGGAAAGAGAGAGAGAAGGGGGAGAGAGAGATTGGGGGAGAGAGAGGGGAGAGGGGAGAGAGAGAGAGGGAGAGAATGAGAATGAGAATGGTCCAAGTCATCCCGTGATGAGCCTCTGTCTCCGGAATCCAGTCACCTGTCCTGTTTGTCCTCATATCTGCTGTGTTTGCTGTTTACTAGGTGATGGTGATGGCTGTGGTTGTACAAACATCCACGGTCACTGGTCCTTAAGGCTGGCTGGCTGCCCAACCCTACCTCCCCCGTGCTTCCCCCAAGGTCCCTCACAGTGCACTGCCAAGTATAGACAAAGACCTGTTTTCTGAACCTCCTTTCCCAGGGCAGTGGACAGGGAACAGGAGAGGCAAATGCAGCAGACCACAGTCTCCCGAGTCCTTACATACCAGCCTAGTCCAGGCTCAGGCCCCTCTCCCCCACCCCACAGACACACTGCTTTTCTGTGCTCCCACTGTCTATGTTACGTCTATGTGTTGAGCTTGGGAGTCTTGTTGTAAATGTGTATTTTTTTTTAAACTGTCTGCTGTCTTCTTTTGCTGTTTTCTGTTTGAACTCTTGCTCTACAGCGGGATCTGTCAGGGTAAGTAAAGCCCCTCTCCCCACTTCCCTATCCAAGTGCTTAAGGTGTGTGACAATAGTGGGCTTAGCCCCTAAAACTGGTTACCCGGGCCCTGGGGAGCCTGCTCCAAGAAGCTGTCCATCCTTCCCCTAAATCAGCAGGAGCAGCCTCCAAGGAGCCTAGACACACATTCCCATCTCCATCCTGATTTCCCTGTTTGTTTCAGAAATTGGGCCCAAAGGCCCCTTGGAGGATGGATGGGACAGTGGAGTTGAGGCTAACCAGTTCATGCCAAAAGTTTCCTTCCCACTTCATGCTATAGAGTCATAAGAGCTGGAAGGGACTTTAGACATCATGTAGCCTCAGCCCCTCCATTGGTCAGGTGAAAAAAATGAAGCCCTGGGCAGAAAAGTGACTTGCCCAGGGACACAAAGCATAGTGTCAGAGTTTAGGATTAGAACTGAGGTCTCAGGGTCCCTAGTTCAGTGCTCTTTTTTTTCTCTCACTGCACCACAAATGCCTCTTACCCCTACTGGAGGGAGCCAGTTTTGGGGGACCAAAAATGTTGTTCACTTTCTTTGCCCGGTTATAGAAGCTATAGGAAGTGAGAACTGGAAGGGTCTTCAAAGATGACCCAGACTCAGGCCTGGAGAGGTTATGACTTGAATCAATCACACATGCATGTGATAAGCACCTACTATGTGCAGGCATTTGGCCAGGTGCTGGGGCTACAAATACAAAAGCAAGACAGCCTCTGCCCTCAGGGACCTTACATTTTATCAGGGGAAGCATTCTACCTGTATCACATACAGGTAGGATGTAGGCCAAACAAATATACAGGGATTTGTTGTTGGGGAAATTCAGTGGAAACAGGGGATAAAGAAAGGTTTCATACAGAAGGCTCCACTTAGTTACTCCTTCCAATCAACAGTTATCTATTAAGCATATACTATGTGCTTAGTATATACTATATATTAGATACTATGCTAAGTGCTGGGGATTCAAAGACAAAAGTAAAACACTCCCTGCCCTCTGGAAGCTTACAGTCTAACTGGAGAGACAATGCACACAGATAGGAGGTAGATACACAACACAGAACACATACAAGGTAACTTTTTTCCCTCCAGTTTAGCAAGTATTTGTTTTTCTCTCCCTTCCACCTCCCCCATCCCCACTGGGAAAAAAAAAAACAACAACCTTGATACAAGGCAACCTTGTTGGGGAAAAAGGGAGAGGGACTAGAAAAGGTGTCATGCAAAAGGTGGCTGAGTTTTGAAGGAAATCCATCATTCTAAAACGTGGACTTGAAACGGGACACAGCATTCCTAGCATGGGGCAGGGAGGAAGGGCAGTATAAAATGTGATAGAGTAGGCATGTGAGGGTAGCTAGGTGGCGAAGTGGACAGAGCACTGACCCTGAATTCAGGAGGACCTGAGTTCAAATCCAACCTCAGACACATGACACTTACTAGCTGTGTGACCCTGGGCAAGTCACTTAACCCCATTGCCTAGCCAAAAATGAATGAATGAATGAATGAATGAATAAGTAGGTGTGTGAGGAACATCCAGATGGCTAGTATGAGTGGGATGTTGGGTGCTGGGAGGGGAGTAATGTGTAGAAGGTAGGAAGGGATGATGGTGTGAAGAACTTGAAATGCCTCAAACAGAGGCATTTATATTTGATCTTAGAGGTGACAGAGAGCCACTGAAGTTTATTGGGTAGAGAGGTGACCTGGTTAAATTGTGTTTTAGGACCCTCTCTTTGGTGACTCAGTGGAGGATTGTTTGGAGTAAAGAGGGACGAGACGGAGCTCAGGAGGCTGAGTCCTGGTGAGGGGTGATGAGAGTGGCGGTACCAGGGTGGTGTCTGTGATCAGAGAGAAACAAATGGATATAATAGAGGTCAGAGAAGTGGAAATGACAAGATCCCGACAACTCATTAGATATATGGGGTGAGGTAGGGCAAAGAGGTAAGAATGATACCAAGGTTGTGAACCTTTGTGATTGGATGGTTAGAGGTGCCCCGATAGGGGAAATGAAAGGCAGAGGTATTGGTTTTGAGGAGGGAGAGATTATGAATTCTATTTTGCTTATGTGAAATATAATGCAAATAAACAGATAGTAACATGGTACTGGAGCTCAGGAGATAAACTAGGTCTAGATATATAGCTATGAGTTATCTGCATAGAGATGACAATTGATCCCATGGAAGCTGATGAGATCAGCAAGTGAGAGAAAAGAGAAAAGGGCCCAGGACAGAGTCTTGTAATGTTCTTACAGTTAGGGGAATGACATGGACAATGATCTAGCAGAAGAGAATGAGAAGCATCAGTCAGATAAGTGAGAGGAAGGCCAAAAGAGATAGCAGTGACATGAAAACCCCAAGCCAAGAGAGTATCCAGAAGGAGAGAATGATCCATAGTGTTAAATGCTACAGACAGATGGAAAAGGGTGGGGATTGAGGAAAGGTCGTTAGATTTGGCAATTAAAAGGTTACTGGTGACTCTGGAGAAGGCAGTTTCAGTTGAATGACAAAATCAGGAGCCAGCTGACCAAAGGTTCAGAAGAGAGGGAAAGAAGAATGAGTGTAGGAGTCTGGCTGGAAAGGGAAGAGAGATAGAAACTACTATCTTACCCAAGATTACTGAGGTAGTTAACTGGGATGAGAATTCAGGTGCCTGGATTGGGACCCACATATCCCACAACCCACTTGGACAGATTCTCTACCTGGGACCCAATGGAAAAAACTCAGAATTCTTTAGGGGGAGTAAGTTCTAGGGGGGGGAGTGTGAACCTAGTTCTTCATCCACGGAAGCCCTCAATAATCTCCTTAGTCAAAGTCAGTTAGAGATTGGGATTTGGGAGGCACAGCTGAGAGAGGTGGAGGGGACAAAAATTCTGTGGAAATTAAAAGTGACGTATCTATAAATTTCTTCCCTTCTGGGAGAATCTAGCCCATTGGAGCCTGAGGTTTGGTTATGGTATTTCTCCTGAAGCCCCATAGCATGAAGTTGGAAGGGTAAGTTGAGGAGCCTAGCCTTTGAGAGACTTTATATAGCTCAAGAGGAACAGGTACTCTGTTGCCGGTGGGGGGGGGGAGCTCTGGCAAGGTAAGGCATGCCTGCTTGTTGGGTGTGGGAGCTGAGTGCCTCTGAAGGATGTCTTTGTCACTTACCTCCCATGGCTGTAGCCCCATTGGTATGGGATTGTTACAGACTCTCCAGGTTGGAACTGCCCCTGGGGTACCATCTGGGCCATCCCCTTGCTTTCGGGTAGGCCAGGACACATACTAGTCCAGGAGAACAGCCCTCCTTTTCCAAATCTAAATTCATTCATTTATTTTTAAAAGTTACATTATTTATCAAACATCTGTGACACTTCTGGAGTTTGAGGCTGTGGTGTTGTGTAAAGAGCACTGGATTTGAAATCCAGGAGGGAGTCATTATATAAAACACACTCAGTTCTTTTATAATGATATTTTGGATGTAGATGTAGATATGATGTGGGCTAAGAAAACCAGGGTTCAAATCCTGTCTCTGACATTTCCCCGCTATGTGACCTCATGCAAATCACCTTATCTTTCTGGGCCTCAGTTTCTTCATCTGTAAAATGGAGATAATAATACTTGCACGACCTACCTCACAGGGTTGTTGTGAGGAAAGCGCTTTGCGTACCTTAAGGTGCCATAAACATGTGAGCTGGTATTATTATTATTACTAAGCATGGAACTCCTGAAACTCGAGCAGCCCCTTTGCATCCTCTGTTCTGAGTTCTGCAGAAACGCCAGCGTTGCAGTTGTTGGGAAGAACAGGAGAAATAAGGGGGTTAGTCCTCCTCTCTGGGCCAAGGGGCTGAGCATGCTCGTGAAGTCTGTCCTCTGCCGTTTCCCCAGGATATGGGGCTGTGTGTGGCCTCACAATTTGGGAGAAATCCCCTTTGTGGGCCTGAATGAGGCATCAGGTCGTCACTGTTCCTCCTCCATATCTCTAAAGGTTTCATCTTGGGGGAGGGGGGAGGAAACCAGATTCATCGAGAGATGGATCTGACACACAGTGGCCAGTCAGTCTGTTAGCTGAATGGCCCCTTGGGTCCCTGTGTGGCATACCTGTCACCTGAGGTAGACTAGTGAGCTCTTCTGTTCTCTGCCCCGCATGCCCAGGTGTTCGGTATGAGCTCTTCTGAGCTGGAGGCAGCCCTGCATCGAGTGAAGGAGGCCAAGGTAATCGAGGATATTGGGTAGGGGAGGATATTGTGGGGTCCCATGCCCGTTATTCTTGTGGCCCATTCATTTTCTTTTTTTTTAAATTTAATTAATTTATTTTGATTTATCAACAGTCACTTCCATGAGCTTTTGAGTTTAAAATTTTTCTCCCCCTTCCTCCCCACTACCCTCCCTAAGACTGTGCACAATCTGATATAGGCTATACTTATACATTCCTATTAAACATATTTTCACATTAGTGATGTTGTAAGGAAGAATTAGCACCAATAGGAGGAACCATCAGAAAGAGGAAACAAAACCCAATGGAAGAAAAAAAAATAGCAACTAGTATGCTTCGATCTGCATTCAAACTCCATAGTTCTTTCTTTGGATGTGGATAGCATTTTCTATCACGAGGCCTTTGGAGATGTCTTAGATCCTTGTATTGCTGGGAAGGGTGAAGTTTATCAATATTAGTCATCGCACAACATTACCCATTCATTTTCAAGGCTTTTCTCGCTCCCTGCTCTGCTAACGACAATCTCCCCCCAATCCTAGCTCCTTTTTCTTTTCCCTCCTGATGTTCTGGAGTCCCTTTTGTCAAGAAAGGCCCATGAGGATCAGTGAAGGGTTGATAGCAGGATGGAAGGTAGGGGGAGCTTAGTAATCACCTACTAAGATTGGCTTCCCACTCTCCCTCTCAATAATGGGGCTTCCAAACCCTCCCAGGAGCTCCCACTAGCTAGACTGTCATCTTCCCAAGCCTTCCAGACCTTCACTGTGGGCAGGTACTGGAGATGCCTTCTCTTGGGTACCTAAGCCCAAGCTGGGGGCTTCAGGACTCCCCAGTCACTGGCCCCTTTCTATTCTCTCAGCCTCCGGCGTATTCTTTGAAAGTCACAGTTGTGCGGGCTAAGAACCTCCTGGCCAAGGATGCCAATGGTGAGTGAGTTCTGTCCTTTAGATCTCAACCCTCCAGGGTGATCACTGGATCCCTGGACTTCTCCCTCCTTGTATGCCTTGTATTTCTCCTGGGGAGAGAAAGAGAAATAGGCCTGCCTGGCCCTGGAGTTACCAACTCCTTCCTCTGATATGGGGGGGGGAGTGGGGCTGCTAATCATAGACATATTTCCCCTGACCTGCTGTTGAGGCCAGGGTCCAAGTCCCTAGTGGGATTGGACCTAGTTAATTAGTAGTTCTAAGAAACTGCTACCTTGTTCTCAGACAAAAGTGACTGAAGTGGGACTGGTAGATTGTCATCTAGCAACTGGGATGGTAGGGACTTGGTGGGAAAGAATCCTACCCAGCGGCAGGAGATTAGATGGGCTGACCTCTGGAAGGTGTTCACCAAAGTTGGGGAGACTGGTTTCTTTGTCTCCCAATTTCTATGGACGTGAGTGGGGAGGAGGAAATTAGGAGCAGAAAGCAAGAGTGTATTGTAAGGATTAGGGGCAGACCTAGGTCCTGTAATGGGTTTCTGGCCATGGCCTTTGCTTCTTAGCTTGGGGGGATATTTTTCCTTCTGGGGATTCCTGTGTTGATGCCTAAAAGTAGTTTGACGTTCTCCAGCAGACCTTAAAGGCCACCGGGCTGGCCTGAGGCCTGATTGCAGAGGTTGGGGTGGGTAGCAGGCAGTGGATAACTGTGCCTCCTCTACCCAGGGTTCAGTGACCCTTACTGCATGCTGGGCATTCTGATCGGCCAGAGTCCCCGAGAGCAGGGGGAAAAGAAAGAGCGGAAATTCAGCTTTCGAAAGCGAAAAGAGAAGGTAGAGAAACGCAACAGTGCTCGAGATGTGCTCCCAGCCAAGTACATCCAGGTCACCGAAGTCAAGAACAGCACCTTGAACCCTGTCTGGAATGAGCATTTCCTATTGTAAGGACACGGGGCTCTGGCCAACTGTGGGACGGGGTGCAGCTCAGCCCCTGTGGCCAGAAACAGGGCCCTGGCCTTGGATCTGGGGTAGCTGGACAGTTGACCACCTTAGGACTATTCACCCAGCTCTGCAAAGAGCATGGAAATGAGAGGAAAAGGAGGGACCCCAATGGCTAGAACACCCAGGCCCTAGCAGTTATCCCCATTTTACAGATCAGGAAAGTAGGAGCTCACACAGGGCAACAACTGTGTTTTATCACCCAGTGATTTAGTGGCAAAGGCTTGGGTCTCCTGACTCCTAACTGTCCTGGACTCCTGTTAGCAATCTCAGATTTGTACAGAACTTTCTCATCCATTATCTCTTGTGCTTCTCACAATAGCCCAGTCAGCAAAGCAGGGAGGGAACTGTTATCCCTGTTTTAGAAATGAGGCCCAGAGAAGGGAAATGATTTGCCCAAGGCCGCACAGAGAGTTGGTGGATGGTAGATGGGCATCTAGCCCAACCCTTCCCTTTCACAGATAAGGAAACCTCCTTCCTAAAAAGTTAAGTGACTCGTCCAAGGTCACACAGTGGCAGATTCAGGATTTGAACCCAGGATCTCTGATCCCAAATCTAGCATTCTTTTCATTCTATCAGCCTACCCTCCTTACTCCCAACCTGTGGTCACTCCACTGCACCACAGTAGGTGAGGAGAGACACAGCATGGGACAGTTCAAGGTTCAGGGCTATCCCTGGAAATTGGCTTCAGGGATGGGCTGGGGAAAACTATCCTTCTCCTGGCCATGCCTGAGCAGAGGGTGGTCTTTTCCTCTCTGGCAGTGAAATAGATGATGCTTCCAATGACCAGCTGCACCTGGACATATGGTAGGTGGGGCAAAATCTTCTGGCTGGGCTTAGGGCTGGCTGGTGAGGTCCATGGCCCACAAGTGGGTCGCCTGTGTCTTTCAGGGACCATGACGATGATGTCTCTGTGGCTGAAGCCTGCAAAAAACTTAACGAAGTGATTGGCTTCAAAGGAATGGGCAGGTATGGACAGCAGATGCACAACACTGTAGCCAGAGAAAAACGGTGGGACAGGGACGAGATGAGGGAAAGTGGAGGGGGAAGGAAGACCATCAAAGGGTTTCCAGCATCGAGCCAAATATGAGAAATAGCCACACTTCTGGATGATAGTATGGTCCACAGAGGCTGTGGGCCTCAGCTTCCTGATTCTTTGCCAAACCCTCCTCTTGTTTTGGGCCACAGACAGCATAGGGCCCCTGGGGAAAGCACCGAGGAATTAGCTAATGATAGCCTTCTTCTAAATAGCAGGGAGACAAAAAAAAAGTTTAAAAAAAAAACCTAAATAGTAGCAAGATGGAGGTAAGGATGATTACTTGGAAATGTGAGAATTTCAGGATTCTTCCATTCTCTTCTTCCCACAGGTATTTCAAACAGATTGTCAAATCAGCCCGGGCTAATGGGATAGCAGGAGCCTCAGAAGACAATGCTGACGACTTCCTGGGCTGCCTCAACATTCCCATTCGAGTGAGTAAAGAGAAGGCCATTTCCATTCCTCCAGCTGCTCTCAGTGACTCCCCTCATGAGGAAAGGGGAGCTGGCAGAGGGTATTACCAGATATCAGCTGGGGAGAGGGGGAAGGCGTCTCTAGCGATGACTGCGGCCCTCTGTGCTGAGCCCTAGGCTATTGAACATTTTATAAATGACTTGGCCGAGGGCCTAGATAATAATTATCCAAGTTAGAGAAGGACACGAAGTTGGGAGAGATAGTGAAGACGAAGGATCACAGAAGCAAGAAGCAAAAAGATATGAACGTGGCATAAGGTTTATAAAATCACAGGTCCAATAAAAACAAAAACCCCACCAAGTCAGAAATTGTGGATTTAAAACATCAACTACATGTATCTGTCGGGCTGGAGGAAATCTAAGGAGACAGTGGTTCATAGGAAAAGGACCTGAGGGAGAGGGAGGTTTCCTAGCACACTAGAAGCCCAGTATGTGAGTCATCTGTATGATGTGGCAGTCAATCAATCACCACGAGCATTTATTTAGAGCCTACTGTATACTAGTCACCGCTAGGTACCAGGGATACAAGTCCAAAGAATGAAACCATCACTACTTCTAGAAGGTAAGAGATCTTACATTCTGGTAAGGAGGATAACAAGTGCACATAGAAATACATACATTTCAAGTGAATAAATACAGACAAACACAGAGTGGTCATCTAATGGGTTCAAGGCTGCACTAAGACTTTGGTAGTTAAATACAAGGTAGTTTGGGACTGAAATGCCTCATAGTGGTTAATTAAAGGGATGGCCTGTTAATTGAGAGACTTGTGGATAGTACTAACTACGTGACAAGGGATGGTGGGAAAATCAGCGGTTAAAAAAAGGTTAATTGTAATAGAGAAGACGTGTATGGAGGTCACTAACCCTGTAAGGTCACTATATTTTATACGGTAGTTATTTGTGTTGTCATACCCATCCTGCGTCATAAGCTCCATGTTGTTATTATTGTTCAGTCATGTCCAACTCTGTGACCCCATTGGGGTTTTCTTGGCAGAGATATTGGAGTGGTTTGTTATTTCCTTCTCTGGCTCATTTTGCAGATGAAGAATTGAGCCAAACAGGGTTAAGTGATTTGTCCAGGGTCACACAGCTAATAAGTGTTCTATTCTGGGCTCTACCTTTGGAAGGACACAGACAGGGTGGAGTTCATCCAGTAGAGGGCAATCAGAATGGTACGGAGCCCAGAGACCACGCTGGACACACATAGGTGGAAGCATCTGAGAATGTCTAGCTAGAGAACAGAACGCTTAGGAGGAGCGTAATTGTGGTCTTCAAGGTCGAGGGGGAAGAAGGATGAAATTCATTATGTTTGGCCCCAGGAGACAGAATTAGGAACAATGAATGAAAATTGCAGAGAGACAATTTTAGTCAACAAGCATTGATTAAGTTCCTACTGTGTGCACGGCACTATGCTAAGCCCTGGGGATACAAACCAAGATGTCCATCTTGCTTGTCCATCAAGATATCCAAAGTCCATTTTCTCCAGGAGCTCACGGTCTAGTTGAGGAGACAACATGCAAACAACGATGTACAGATCAAAGATGTATCCAGGATAAATTAGAACTAATCAACAGAATTATCAGCACTTAATTAGAACGCTTTGGGCATTATTTGAACTCACATTAAGAGGGATTGGGAAAAACTTCTTGCAGAAGGTAGGACTTGAAGAAAGCCAGGGGAATCAGGCGGTGGAGATAAAGGAAAGAGTTCTAGAGAAAATGCCTGGACTTGGGAGATGGAGTGTATTGTTTTAAGTATAAGGATAAACATCTTAGCACTTAGAACTCTCCCAAACTTCATGTGCTGCCTGGACAGGTAGTGAGTTCCTGTCACATGGTAAGCGATTAAGAAATGTTTGTTGACTTGTTACTGAAGTTCTCCAAGAAGAGGCTTGGCACTTAGATTGCAAAGGGGATCGAGTGTTTGACTAAATAACTGCTAAGGTCCCTTCCATCTCGGAGAGTCTTGGAGGGGAGCAGATCCCAGACACCCCCTCTCCCCTCTCTGCTCCTGCTCCCAGCCAGAAAAAGGAAAAACCTAAAGAGCCGTTAACTGCTGCCCAGGCCTAATCACATCTGAAGCAGATGTGAGGCCCCACCTCTCAGGAGCAGGAACTGGGTGTCTGGCTTCCCAGATTCTGATCCCCCAGTTTGAGGTTCCTGCTTGGGATATGATTGGAACTAACCCGGGGTACAGCAACAAAGCAGATGGTGATGCCTCTACCTTAATGCCATTTCCATCAATAAACCATATCAGTTTGTGATGTTGAACCATTTGACAGATCCAAGGACGTTGGTGACAGGAACTTTTTTTTTTTTACTGGATCTTTAGTAGCTGTGGCTGCAGCCCCTGCAGGAGCATTTACTGGGCTGCATCTCCACGGGGGCTGCTTCCCAGGTTGATGGCCGAGGCCACTGGGCTGGAAGCATAGCTCCTCCCCAAGCTCTTGGGTTCAGGGTCCTCGGCTGTCTCCATCAGAGTGTGAGGGAAGATGGTAGTCAAGGTGGTGGTGGTGGCTTGGTTTGCCCAGCACATGCTGCCTCCTGCCCCTGCTGAAGGCTGCTTTACCGAGTTGACTCAGACAACTTGCTGGGACTTATGTATCATATCATAGAGGGACTATAATCTTCAATGGGTAAGGTTACCATGCTAGGATTCCCTCATACTAACAACATTACAGATCTTTCACGTATTGAAGTATGACTTTGGACACATCCCTCCCCTTCCATGGATGCCATATACTCTCAGAGTTGGAAGAAACCCAAGAGGTTCAGACTGTACCCGAATAGAAATCTCCTCTATGACATTCTGGAGATGGAGTCATCCAGCCTCTGGTTGAAGACCTCCAGTGATGGTGAATTCCTTCCTTCCATCTCATCCCATTCTTTCCCAAATGAGACAGCCTCTTGTACTTTTAGATAACTCTAATTGTTAGGAAGTTTCCCCTTATAAATCAAGCCAAAATCTTCCTCTTTGCAACTTCTCCTGCCTGTTCCTTGTTCTGCCCTCTGGGGCCAAGCAGAACAAAGCAAATCTCTCTTCCACATAACAGCTTTTCAGATTCCAGAACATGGGGCTCATTTAGCACCTCCAGTCTTCTCTTCTCCAGGCTAAGCTTCCCTGTTCCTTGTTTGGCAGTCATTAGCCATTCTACTACTCTGTTCATCTTCCTTTGGGCGTGTCTCAGTTTGTCAATGTTCTTGCTCCCCAGAACTGAACACGTTTCTTTAGAGGTAGAGTGTCCAGGGCAGAGCTCCGTGGGACTGCCACCTTCTTTATTCTCAACCCTGAGCTTCCACTAATACAGACTAAAATAGAATTCGCTATTTCAGTGGCCATGTTACAGTGTGGACTCATATTGAGAAGGCTGTCCACGGAACCTTCTCTCTCCTAGAGCCTTTATTATTTTTCACATGAACTGCTGTCTAATCATGGCTCCCCCATCATACATTTGTTCAGTTCACTTTGGGGGCTCAAGTTTAGACCTGCATTGTTATTGTTGTTCAGTCATTGTTTAGTTATGTTTGACTCTTCGTAACCCTGTGGACTATAGCATGCTAATACTGCCAGTGGAGTTTTCTTGGCAAAGATGCTGGAGTGGTTTGCCATTTCCTTCTCCAGTGGATTAAGACAAACAGAGGTTCAGTGACTTGCCCAGGATCACACAGTTAGTAAGTGTCTGAGGCTGGATTTGAACTCAGGTCTTCTGGACTCCTAACCCGTTGCCCTATCCACTGAGGTATCTAGCTTCATCAGAAGTGTATATTTATCCATAACATATCATTTTATTGTATTATTTTATATACAACTTTATAATATAAATATAAATAATATAATAAAATAATATATAAATATATAACAAATTATAAAATATAAATATTATTTTATTTTATTAGATTCTTCAGCCCATCTTTCTAGCCTGTCTAAATCTAGCTATCTTTTCTAGCCTTGTGTCATCTACAAATTGGATAAGCAAGTCTTTCTGCCTTTGCCAAAATGTTGAAAGTCCTTATCTCTCACATGAGGGGTCAACCTGGAGCACCCCTAAAGGTCCTCGTAGCTCTAATATAGTCTAGGATTCTGGGCATGTCTGTTATGAGAGGCAAGGTAGCTCTGTGTTTGCAGAGAAGTGAACAGGGTTTTTCCTGGGAGACCAATGCCAGCAGGCAGTAGGGATGAGGCAGACTTATTTCTTTCTGCAGGAGATTCCCGTGACCGGCTTAGACAAATGGTTCAAGTTAGAGCCTCGATCCAGCTCTTCTCGTGTCCAGGGAGATTGCCATCTCATCCTCAAGCTGATCACCACGCAGGTAGTGGCCTTTCCTTTCTACTCACCCCCTCAGATCAGGCAGGGAGCCCTGCTCCTGGGCTGGGATCCAGAAAGTCCCCACTGTGGCATCCACAGCTGTTGGAAAACAAATTTCTCAAGGTTCACAGCTGCTCTACTAGGATTTTGTGAATTCTCTTTTCCTGCCACTTGCTTTCTTGGCTGCCTCTCTATCTCCTCCTTCCTCATCTTTCTCCTTTCTCTTCCCTCTCCTCACTCCACCTCCCTCCTCCTATATCTCTCTCCTCCACTTTTCCCTCTTGCCTTTCTCTTTCCTTCCCCCTCTTCTATCTCCTCTCCCACTTTCTCCTTTATTCTTACTCCATCTCTTTCCCATTCTGCCTTTCTCCTCCTTTTTTTAATCGCACCTTTTCCCTTTCCTGTTTTCTCCCCTCTGGGAAATATCCTGTGGGCCATGAGGTCAAAGGGAGAATGCATTTCCTACCTGGGATTACTGGGTATTGTGCCACAATCCAGGTTCTCCCTGTGGCATTATTTGAGTTGGGTGTGTGTGTGTGGTGTGTGTGTGTGTGTGTGTGTGTGTGGTGTGCGCGCGTGCACGTGCGTGCTCACACGAGCACCCATGCCCGCAGCTAGGGAACCAGTAAGGGGGTAGGGCTATGAGGAAAAGGGTCTAGATGTTGGTGCGGGGGTATCGTGGACAATGCTTGGGCTAGCAGGAATGCTGAGAGAGGGGTACTGGCTCGCTAAGGGCAGCTTTGGGTGACAGGCCAGTGAGGTATGATGTGGACTTCTGTTTCAGAGACACACCAGCATGAGTCGGAGGATGTCAGGCTTCCAGGTGCATGGACTGCTCCTCAGCCAACTGCTTAAGTTTGAGCATGGCCAGGACCAGGTGAGGCTCAGGGCCTGCCGCTTCTCTCAGCAGGTGGCTGGAATGGGTGGAGGGTGATAGAACAAGGGAAGTAAAGTCTTCACCCTACGACTTGAGGTCTCACCTCCTCCTGTTCCCCACCTCTTGCCCTGCGTCCTGCAGCTGGGGAACAATGAGGTCAAGGAATATATCTGTAATAAGCAACTTGGGTGCCTACTGTGTGTGGCAGGAGGAGAGAGGCACAGTCCTTGCCCCTTGGGAAACTCAGTCTGGTGGGGGAAGTGGGATCACATGAATGGGATAGAAAGCACCACAGGAGAGTGTATCCAGGTGTGCCCAGGCCAAAAGCTACCAGGGCCAGGAAAGGTAGGCAGCTACCCAGGTAGGGACAGCACACACTTTTTAATGTGACATTTTCTAAATGCACATCTTTTTATCCCAGAGCATGATACTCAATGGATCAGACGTACTCATTCTGTGATCAATTAAGTCAAACAAGTTACAGTGGCATGATTTTCAAACTTTGCCAAGGGAGCAAAGATCCCTTGTCCTGATTCTAGTTTAGACAATAACAACAATAACTCCTGTTTCTATAGGGCATTAATGTTCACAAACAACTTTGCTCACAACTATTCTCTGAAGCTGCAAATGTAAGCATTATTATTTGTATTTTACAGATGAGGGAATAGAGGCTCAGAGCAATTAATGACTTGCCCACTAGTGCGTGGGTACTAGTAAATGCTGGAGTTAGGATCTGAAGCCAGCAGCCCAACTCTTGAGCTGCCAGAGGTTAGAGGAGGCAGATTAGTCCTAGAAGGCTTTACGGACCATGCGAGGGCCTTCTCATCTCTGCCCCTTTCCTGCCATCCTTGTCACAATATTCTACCCTTGCTTTGGCAGCCAGAAGCCTACAGCTGGAAAGGAGAACTGAGCGGATCTGCGCTCACTATTCTTTCTCACCATGGCACCCAGACGGATCTCTCATCTCTGCAGCTAGCCATGATGTGAGTATGGTGCAGTCTTCTTGGAGTGAGGTTAGAGACTCTGAGATGTTTTCCAGCTACTGCTAAATGGACGAAGCAACCCCAGACCCGGCCCTTAGGACCCAATGGCAAACAGTGGAGGGAGATGGGTGGGGGCAGATAGCAAGGAAGGACAAGGGTGGGGGCACAAACATCGGGCCAGAGAGCAGAGACGGATGGAGATGGCCAGATAGGAAAAGGCAGATCATAGGACTGAGGAGGGGGGAGAAGGAAGCTGAGGCTGTAGACGTGGAGGGAGCAGGGCAGAGGGGTGAGGACACATGTGGAGAGCCAGGCACACAGAAGGAAGCAGGGGAAAGGCCGGTGCTGATAGGCTTCCTGGGTTGGGGGCCCCATAGACACTGGCAGGTCAGCAGCCAGCACCACCAGGCTTGTGGCTTGGACTATTGCTACCTTCTGGAGCTACTTGGAACCATTCAGGAGCAGTGGGGAGAAGCAGCAGCTGCTCTACCTAGACAACAGGTGAGTGGGACCCGCATGGGTCAGGGTGGGGACAAGGTTTGTGGGAAAGCCAAGGAGGGGCTTCATCAGGGACCACAGGCAGCTTCCGGGTGAGCGGAGAGGGGGGTGGGCTGAACATCACCACCCTGAGGCCCAGGTCTGAGGGAGGGGGGATAATATGCATGTATTCACTGTACATGCTGGGGGCTGGGCCAACATCATTTGGCCTCATCTATGAGCCAAGAGTTAGGGGCTCTTGCCCCGAGCCTCTTGCTTTCCTTGTTACACAAGTACTTTGGAAATGACTGCAGGGGGAGGGACTGCATGTCCTGGCCAGGACCCTGGAGAGAATAGCTTGTCTCTTCTCAGGAGGAGAGTTTGGCCAACAGCTTCATCTCCTTTGTGGAGCATGCCCTCCTGCTGCTGAGACAGCTCCGGGAGCTGTTCCCCGTCACCAACAGCAATGCTGTCAGCCGCCTTGAGTTCCTCCTGAGGTGGGCTATTCAGGGCTGGCCGGCAGGGGTGGGGAGCATCCTCACTAAGTCCAGCACCAATGTGGTGAGCCCCATAGGCGGAGGGGTCCCACCAGGCTGTCTAAGGAGGGAAGAGCAAGCTCAGGTTGGAAACAAAGCAGATTACAACCCCTGTGTCGGTCAGTAGTGAGATCAGGGCAAGGAGTGGCGGCTATGAACTTCCAGCCTGGGCAAGAATAGGGAGCTCCAGTTTCCAAAAAAGAAGAAAAAAACTGAGTGAGAGGGATGAAGGATTAGTGACTGGGGTAGGGCCTCAGTGAAATAATCAGTGAGAGATGGGTGGGGGCTCAGTGAGGAGGAAGGGAGCATGATGAGAAGGATGGAGGCTAATTGAAGGATTTAAGGTCTGGAAGGGGATGAGGGGGGCTCACTGTGCTGATGAGGTCTCAGTAAAGGGTTGGGGGATGGGGACAGAGTGGGAGGGTTCTGGCACAATCCACACTGATTATCCCAGTTTTAGGAGTTCCGCTGAGCCCTTTTTGGATATGTGGGGAAAATGTTTTTTTGAGTTTGAAAAACTTGATTTTTCATCATGGTAAGGCTTTCTCCTTATGTCTTCCCCCAACCCCAGGTGTCTTAGTCAGATTTACAGCCTGCAGCCCTTCCGTATGGTCTGCCCATTCCAGAATGAGCTACACGTGGACATTGCCACAGCCCTGAAGGTAGATATAACTCTTAGGCCCCATCGGTGACAGTCCTCCTCTCTCCTCCCATCTTCTCATCCTTTCTCTCTCCCGTATTCCCTGATCCCACCAGAGTCCTTGCTCCTCCCAACCTCAAAAGGGCCTCGGGGTGGTCTTCCCCTCTCCCCATGTAGCCTGGCCACCTGAATCAGGGCCAGTATCCAGCTCAGTTTCTCAGATCCTCCATTTCTCTAATGTGTCCTTACTATGTCTCAGGGGATGCTTTAGCCCAGACCCCCTAGCCTCCTTCATGTTTCTTTGTACACCCAGTACTACAACAAACCATTTTCACACTTGGGACAATTAGCAAAACTCAAATCTCAGGGCAAGCAGCATGAAACCACCTTCAGCTTGAAAACTATGTAATTCCTGATGTGAAAAAAACAAATAAAAGGTAATGAAATTCAGTTGAGTGGGAGGAAAAATTGTTTCCTATAGTGGCTTCTATTTTGCCAGAGGAGCATGTTACATTTTTGTCGACCCTACAGGTTAGTGCCTTGAGACAAAGCCCCTGTAACTCCACCCTAGTTCTGCATACACAACTTCCTTAAGCTAAAAAGGGATGGGAGTTTTTCCACAAGCCTCTCATTCTCCCAACTCATACACTTGGAGGAGTCTATTGAACTGGGTCTAGCCAACCTAAATGACCTCCCTCTATGTACTTTGAGAGAATAGCCACACACTTTGAAGGTACATCCTGGTTTCTGTTTCAGAAAGGAACTCAGGACTGGTATGAAAGACTCCAGAGAAGCCGGAGGCCCCTGGGAAAGGTAGAGCCCACAGTGTGGGGCTGGGGTTGGAGGGTCATGGGTTATGTTCCTCTCCATAGGTTTATAAAAGCCTGTGCTCATAGACAGATATGGACATATTTCTGCATACTGCATGTGTGGGTGTGAGTGTGTATGTATGTGCACGTGCACCTGTGTCCTGGGCTCAGCCCAGGGCAATGAGAATGACCTCTTACTGCAGCCTGGGCTAGAATGTCTCCCTGGACTTATCAGCCTGGCAGATGCCGTGTATGACGACTTACAGGCCAGCCACAGCGTCTATGGAAGGCTCTTTGTCAGGTGAGGAAAGAGACAAGGTGGGGTGGGAGTGGGAGAGCAGGATAGACAGAGAAGGAATAAGCAGAGAGGGTATATACACACACACACACTCACCAAAGACCCCTCTTCAAAATGTAACTCATCACCTCTCAAACACACAAAACCTCACTTTACAAATCTTTTTTCCCTCCACTCTCATTAGATCCTCATAGACCCCCATCCCTGGGAGAGATGGGGTAGAAATTATTTCTTTTATAGGGGAAGACACTGAATCCCAGCCAACTGAAGCAACATAAACTATGTTAGGCAGTAACCATGCTTTCTAGTGGAAAGACCCACCCATCTTCAAATCCTGGCTTTGCCACTTCCTACAGGTGGGACTTTGGGCAAGTCACCACATCTCTCTGAGCCTCTGTTTTCTCATCTGTTAAATGGGGCTAATAATTCTTGAAGTAGCTAATTCATAGGGTTATTGTGAGGCTCAAATGAGAGAATGTATGGAGCTGTTCTTAGAGAACCTTAATAATGTGCTATATAAATGTCTGACACTACTCCCTGTCAAAGGTTGGGGTTGGGCCAGATGATCTCTAAGATCCTATGATTCCACGACTTTCAAGGTCACAAAACAGTTGGTGGCAAAACCAATGCTGGAATATTTAAGGTCCCTGTACTGCTGAAGCTGGGGAGTCCGAGAGAATTCATCTCCAGAGTGCAGGGAAAATAGTAGAAGGTCTCTTCAATTGTGTCTCTTGCATGAGGAAGGACAAAATACTGTGCCTCTGTCACTACCACCACCACCTTGCATCAGGGTACAACAAGGCTGAGGAGGAGGAGGATCCCCAGGCTCTTTCTTCCTGCTTCAGCTAGGTCCATCTTTCCTTCCACAGCATTGTGAAGGTTGATTTATTTGGCATCACCTATCGGCAGTTGGAGAAGCTGGTGAGGGGCCCCCTGGGGAATGCCTCATTCCAAGACCCAGACTTTGGGGGCACCTCAGAAAGGAATTTGGATCCCCAATTCTGACCTGATGAGGGAGGGAGAAACAAGGGTCCTTTGTTTCTTCCTGTCTTCCTTAGTCCTACGCCTGAAGAGAAAGGGGATGAGGAGAGCATGAGGGTTCCTTGTTCTATCTTAGCTTACTGGGAACAAGGAATCCATCTTCCCCAACAGGTGGGCCATAGTAAGCAGGATCCTGAGAAAGCTGCATGGAAATTGAATCTGATTGTAAACACATAGAGGGGGATGGTCGGCCATTTAAAAGCCCTGTTGTAAACACTAGGGTAGTGTGCAGTATGGTACTTGTTAATTTATCTTGTAGGTGAATTTGAATTTTCACAAAGTAGGTTTGCCCATCCTGTCTCCCACCTTCTCTCTTCTTATCCTCTGCTCTGCCTCCTCCTCTCCCTTCCTCTGTTCTCTCTTTCTCTCCTTCTTCTTTTCCTGTATTCTTTCCTTCTTTTTCTTACCTCTCCTCTTTCCTTTCTTTTCTTTTTCTCCATCTCTTCTCCATCTCCATCTTTTCTCCCTTCCTCCTTCTTCCCTCTCCTTCTCCTCTTCTTTCTTTTCTCCTCCTTTCTATTTCTTTTCCTTTCCTTTCTCTTCTGTCCCTCTCCTTCTCCCCAACTTGTCTTTGCTCCGCTCTCCATGGTACTGAGCTGCCTGAAGCAAGGCAGTAGTTATGAAGCTCCCATATGGGCCTGGCCGAAGCCAGGCTCAGTGGGTGGCCTCTGTGGAGCAGGTAGCTGAAGAGATCCAGGCTCCAGTGGAGGAGTTGAGCACTGGGCTGGAGTTGGGTAGCGCCTCAGGCCTCTTTGAGCTCTACATCACCCTGGCAGAGATCCAGCGCTTAAGAGCCTACCTCCCTACCAAGTAAGTGAATTCCTATCTCTGCTGTTCTAGCATTCTACGGTCCTAACCCTTGCACCTCCTACCTCATAGGTTATTGTAAGGAAAGTGTTCGGTAGACATTAAACAGTGGTATGGAAAAGTAAGCTTTTATTTTCCTTTCCCCTGATAGAGTAAGGTTTCTTCCAATTCTAATGATCTGTCATATGCCTCCGGGGGGGGGGGGAGAAGGTTTGGGGGTAGGAGTTATTTCTGGAAGACAAGATAGCCTACTGGTGCTCTACCACCCCCAGGCCTATGTTTCTCATGTCCCAGCCCCGCCCCCCCCCATGGTTCTCTCTCCCTCTATGACCAAGCCTAGATCCTTGCCAACTTCCAGATCCCTCCTCTTCCTCTTCTTGGTTGAGTCTCTTAGACCATACCCTTAATGCACCCCCAACCTTCAACCTAGAACAAACACCTGTATGCCTTCCTCTTCCAGGAAGTCTTCCTTGATTATTTTAGACCATCACAAATAACCTCTCCCATCCCTCCCTCCATTCCAGCTCCCAAGTTCCACCCTGAACAATGAGAAAAAAAAAGAGGGAGTCTCCTCATCACTTCACAACTTCCTTGGGGGAGATTGAAGTAGGGAAGGAGAAGGGATTCAAGACCCTAACCCTTTAGCCTCTTCTCCTTCCTGCCTAGGGACAGCTCTGCCTTGGCCTTGCCAGGATTCCACACTCAGTTCCTTCCAGCCATTCGCCTGTGGCTGCAAACTCTTCGGGACAAGACTCGTCAACGACTCCAGAGGGCTGTAGATGTGGACAAGGTGGGTGGTGAGGCTGGGATCTCTGTAGTCCAGGTGCATTATCCCTTGGCTTGGGTGGGAGAGGGACAGATTTTTACCTATCAACTCCCCCGCCTTGTCTCCAATCCAGGAGATCCCTTCTAGGTAAAGAGGGAAGTATAATTGGTTCCTCTATCCTCCCATAGCAGAGGAACTGAGGCCCTAGGAGGTATGTGGGGAAGAAGTTCAGTTGCTCCTACCCAAGGATGATTTGGTGGGGAGGGGTGGGGGTGTTAGGTTTGGGGGAAATTGAGAAGCAGTGTGGTTCAAGTGAAAGACACTGGATATTGAGCTAGAAGGGTGAGATTCAAATTCTGGCCCTGAACTTGGGCAAGTCACTTAACTGATTTAAATCTCAGTTTCCTGAGCTACAAAATGTGGAGATTGGACTAGTGGCCCCTTCAGGTTCTCAATCTTCGGTCCCATGAATGCCCTTGGGAGGGTCTGCCCCACAGGAGAAGCACCAGTGCCTGATGCACGGTCTGTTTCTATCTCTCCCCCCCCCAACCCAGCTGGAGCCCATGGACGCCACCTCCAAACACAGCAGCTCAGCAGCAGATGCCACCCTCTGCTTCTCCCAGACCCAGGAGCTATGGGCCCAGCTGGCCTGGCCAGAATCAGCAGAGGCCCTGGACCTAGTGACTCAGCTCACCGAGGTGAAGCCCGGAATGAGGGGATGGAGAGACAAAGGCTTGCCCTGGAGAGCCTCCAGTTTGAGGGGCCCTGCCTTAGGAGAGCAAGGGGCAGGGAGAGGGAAACATGCCATACTTGGTGGGGAGAAAAGTGTTATCTGTGGGGAGCTCTGGGTGAGAAGGAGACGTGGAAGGCTTATTTCTTCTCTCCCTAAGGATATCTGTGAGGCTGCTCTATACTACCCAGAACTGGTTCGGAGGAAAGTGGACACACGGCCCCTGGCCCTGGGTGAAGCAGTGAGTGAGCCGGTGAGTCTGTTGGGGTGGGGGCTGGGTGAAGAGAATGGGTGGGGGGGGGCATGGCATAGGGGAGGTGGAGTCACAAGACAAAGCCCTTAGGGTTTCAGGGATTGGTTTGGCTCCTTTGGAGTGGTCTCTCCTAACCAGATCCTGGGGATAGTACTGGTCATGTGTCCCGTTCCCTTCTCTCCTCTCCCAGCTTTGCATTGCCCTGAACAATGTGGAACATGTACGAAAAGCCACAGGACAGGTACTTCGGGGGCTGGAATGGCCAGAGCCAGGTGGTGGGTCCCCAGGGGGCCTCCCCAGAGCCCTGAAGAACCGACTGCTGGCTATGGATGAGGACCTTCAGAGGGAGGCCCGGAACATGATTGCACACCTGACGGCCAAGGTGGGGCAGGCTGGGGCTGGGGCATGCTGTGCTCACAAGATGCTCCCATCTCTAGGATGCCTTCATTTCCTCCCCTTTGGGACACTTCTCTCCCTCCCAGTCACTTACTTCCTCATTCTCCCCCATCTCCCTTCCCCCTAGATGGTAGGAGACATTAAGAAGTATGTTCAACATATCAGCCTATCACCAGACTCGATCCAGAATGAAGAGGTGAGTCCCTGCACAGGGCCAAGGCTCTCTAAGATGAATTGTACTCCATTCCATGGCCCTGGGAGATGGAATGGAATAAGCATTGATGAAGTGCCTACTTTGTGCTAGGCACTGTGCTAAAGTGCTTTATAAATATGGTCTCATTTGATCCTCACATCAACCCTTTGAGGGAGTTGCTGTTATTATCCCCATTTTATAGTTGAGAAAACTAAGGCAGATAAAAGTTGTGACTTGCCCAGGGTTATATAGCTAGGACGTGTTTGAGGCAAGATTTGAACTCGGGTCTTCGTGATTCCATGCTCTATCCCCTGTACCACCTAGCTGCCTCTAATAGGGGATAATAGAAAAATAATCACTCATGTGTCTATGGTGCCTTGTGACTCAAATCATCTTTCTGTACAAGAAGCCTGTGGGGGCAGATAGTGAGAATATCATCCCCCTTTTGCAGATGGGAAAACTGGAGTTCCAAGAGGGGACTGACTTGCTTATGTTCACACAGATAATAAGGGTTGGAGATGGGTCTGGGCTGGAGGGGAGAATCATGCCGAGCCTACGGTCTGCTAGGACGGGGAGGCAGAAAATACCCCCCTACACACACAAAGATGGGATTCCTGTTCACTGGGTCTTCCCTCCATCCCTCTCTTCAGGCCATAGCCCCTCTCATGAAATATCTGGATGACAAGCTGATTCTTCTCAGTGACTCACTAGTGAAGGAAAACCTCTGCCGGTACTTCCAGGGCTTTAGGGTTGGGGGGCTGTGGAGGGCTGCAGGTCTAGAGCTGGAAGAGCCTTTAGGGATTCTCTGTTGAACATGAGACTCGGAGCTCCTTGAGATCAGGGACTACCTTTTGCCTGTCTTTAAGCACACAGTAGGTGCTTAATAAATGTTTCATTTGACCGATGGGATGGTTCCTAAGGTTCCTTCTAGCCCTAATGTATGATCTATGATTTAGTCCCACCCCCTAATTTTCCAGATCCCAGGGAGAGGGGCCTTCTCACCCTTGGCAAGGCTTTGATGCAGGAGATAGGGTATTCTGGACTGAAAAATGAGATATTTTTGGGGGTGTGTATAATTGTGGCTATCCCAGGCACAATATGTGTTGGAGGGTGGGGGTGGGAAGGTGTTACGAGGTCTTGTCAAGGAAGGCCAATGATTTGAGGGACTTCCAAGGGCTGCAAATAGGGAGTTTGACAGGTTAATGAAACAGAAGATCCCAGTTCCTTGTTCCCTAGTTCAGATAAAGGACCTCCCTTTACCCTGCTGTTCTTCCCAGCTTGGGAGTTAGCCATGGTCATTGTCCTTGTCCTCGAAGTGGCTACACTTCTCTTCAGGGGAGCTCTGTCTGCTAGTTTCAGCCCAGGGCAGATAAAGAAAGGAGAGGCCAGCTCCAATGGGAATGTCTGTTTCCTCAGCCCCCAGCCCCCTTCCACCATCCACCTCAATACATAAACATACTCTCCTGACCAGGGTGCTGGAAGCTCTCTGGGATCTGCTGCTTCAGGTCATTCTTCAGGCTCTTGGGGCCAACAGAGATGTCTCTGCTGAGTTCTACAGAAGGTTTTACTATACATTGGAGGTGAGTGATATAGGGCTGGAATTGAGGGGAAGGGGCCCAGCTCAAGCAGGAGCTGGAGACGTTCTGGGGAGCTGGCCTGAAGCAGGAGGACATGTCCCAGGGTAAAAGATGTGCCAGATGGTAGGGAATGGTTCAATTCAGTATTGACTCTGGCATGCCTTTAACGAGCCATAGACTGGATTTGGTCCTTGGGGATTTGAGGGTGTCACAGGGGAACAGTTGAAGGATTCATCCTAAATTGTAACTAAGAACTGATTTGAATATGTCAAAGGTGGCTCAAGACTCCTAAGTGAGGACTACTGAGTTGTAACTAAAGCGAGAAAGATTCCCCGAGCTATATGAAGTAAAGCAGGCTTCTTTATGACTGGCTTCTGGAGCACATGGAAATCGCTGGGGCAGTGGCCCACTGGGGGGCATATGTGATGGTGCAGTTGCCTCTTCAGAGAGGCACTGTCTGCCTGCCCAAAGTGAAGCCCGAGCCTCCTCCATCCATGGTAATGGGGACAGACATAGCTGTGGAAGAGTCCTGTTCAACATTCTCCTTGCCATGGCCCTGGGCTGAATGTCTGGGTCCTTTGGCATACACACCAGCTGGAAGGCTGGGGAGGATGTTCTGTGCACTTGGGTGTAGCACCCGGGAGTAATGCCCTCTCCAATTTATACCTCCCCTTTCCTCAGGCCTTAGTGGATTTTTTCCATGCAGAAGGGCAAGGGTTACCCTTGGAGAGCCTGAGGGACGGACACTACAAGGTGAGCCCTAGACAAAGGGACCAGAGGCCTGGATTTGGAGGAGGGAGAAAGGGTTGGAGCAGAGCGGGGTGAGGGTGGGAACCTTTATTTACCCTGGGACCTTGTGTCATTGGGAGCAGTCCCTGGTCTTCCTATCCTCTCTAGCCTAGCCCGCCTCCCCCCAAACCACCTGAAAGCTCTTTTCCCAGAGAACAGACTAGACCCTCTGGGTGCTGGGCAGCCTGGGGGCCACCTCCCAGTCGCCCTTCTAGCCTGAGGGACTTGCTATTGGCAGACCTTGGAGGAGGAATTACGCCTCAACAAGTGCTCCACCAATGAGTGCATTGAGCAGTATTACCTGGACAAGCTCAAACAGGTAGGGTCCCCACCGCTGACCGCAGCCCCTGCACACCTGTTCATCTGGCCCAGTGTGGCTGCCCCAAGCCCAGCTGACTGTTGGCACTGGGGTAGGGCGGGGGGACAACTCTCTCCCAGAGATCGATGGAGCAGAATAAGTATGGACGGCTGAGTGTCAGGTGTTACTATGAGGCGGCAGAACAGCGGCTGGCTGTGGAGGTGCTGCATGCTGCAGACTTAATTGCCCTGGATGCCAACGGTGAGGAGGGGAGAGGAGCCGGGGGCAGATGGGTTGGGAATGAAGGTGGATCCCAACAGACCAGCTGAGCTCAGCTTCCTCCTCTTCCCTCTGCAGGCCTAAGTGACCCCTTTGTCATTGTTGAACTCTGTCCCCACCACATTTTCCCACTGGCCCGAAGCCAGAGGACCCAGGTCAAGACCAAGACCCTACACCCTGTGTATGATGAGCTGTTCCACTTGTGAGTCCCGAGGAAAGGGCTGGGTTTCTCTCTGCAAGTTATTCGAGCTTTCTCCTTCCCCAGTATTAGTTGAAGGGAATCGGGTTGGATGGTTGCATATGTTCTGGCCAATCAGACCCTTTGGAGCCCCTCAAAATTTGTCCTTGTTTGTTTCAGGGTCTGCCCAGCCACAGTGAGACTCTAGTGGTCTGGTTAAATCATTCTTGGGATTGAACCCCATTTGGGGTTCTGGTATGGCTAGTTCCCCAACATGAAGCCCTAACCCAGCCACTTGCCTCCACTGATTTTTCTCTCTCTGGCTCCCCAGCTCAGTCCCTGCAGAGCTGTGCCGCCATCGGGCGGCCTGCGTAGTCTTCACTGTAATGGACCATGACTGGCTGTCCACCAATGACTTCGCTGGAGAGGCTGCCTTGGCCCTGAGCAGCATCAGTGGGCTTAGCAGGCCCCAAGTGGGAAGCAGTGTGAGGAGCATGCAGCCAACCACTCTTCACCTCCGCAGGCCCAAAGCCAATGGTAATGACTACTTTCCTCAAACCCTGGCCCTGGCTCATCCCTATGAAGATTGCTGGGCTTACCTTAAGGGAAGGAAGTCCTAGCCCTTTGGGAAGACATGGGGGGAAAGGGGGAACCCTGCCTGAATTTGGTTAACCTGAGCTGGATAATCTCCCCTAGTGAAATCAGCACTGAGGATGCTGGAGGGAAGGATGGACAGAGAAGCACAAGAGTTTGTGAAGAAACTCAAAGAGATGGAGAAGAGCATGGGAGACGATTAAGCAGCTTTCTCTGGGTGGTGCCACACTCACGCTCCCCTTTCCTCCTCTCCTCCCCACCCCCTATCTCCACCTCTGGCTGCAATTATCTACATCAAAGCATCAGGGTCCGTTTGGTCTTTCATCAGAAACTCCTGTTCAGTTCCTTCTGGTGTAACCTCAGTGGTGGGTCAGTCTGTGATGTTTCTCCTTGTTCAGTGTTGTGTGCGCCTCAGCCAGGCCCAACAGCTTTACCCGCTCCTAGTTCAATTTTGGTTTGATGCCTTTGCTGTGAACACCCCCTACCCTGGGGCCACTGGGGCCCAAGTCTCCACCTGTCAGTGACAGCGACTGCCCTTCCCTTCCCATTTGCTTGGAGACCCAAAAGTGCCACCCAAATGACCCATTCAAGCAATTGTTAGAGCATTTAGGGCATGACTGGGGAGGTGTCAAGGTAAGCAGGTGGTACAGGGGGTGGAACAGAGCTACCAAATTCTCTAAGCCTGCTTCACCCAGCTCTGCAGCAATCTGATGAGTGTGAAGGACAGCGCCCACTGCCCACTTATCCCCCAGCTCCAGACAATCTCCACCCCAATCACAGAAGAGACTCTTCAAGGAAATTCAATTCAGTAGCCAGCTTCTATCACAGGGGCCAGAAGACAGTTATCCGACCTCCAAGTCGGCTAATACAGCAGAGGGAGGCTGTGATCTTATCTAGGACGCTCTGCTGGGAAATGCCAGGGACAACACCAAGTTTAATGGCCCTGGAAGGTCACAGGTCAGAGCTGGAAGGGCTCTTAGAGATCATTTAGTACAGCCCCATCATTTCACAGATGAGGAAACAAGTATTTAGATCTGCCTCAAGTTACACAGCTAGTAAAAGAAAGAGATGGGATATGTACTTGTAGGCGACTGGTCCTCTCACCAAATCTCTCATCCTAGTGCAGAGAAGAGTAATTTTCCTTTGTGGAAAACTGATTTCCTATGGAGGATGGGCCCCCTGAGAAAGGTTCCTCACTATCTCACTGGGCACTCAGCACCAGTGCTGTGTTTTTCCTCTACAACCTCTAGCTGTATTTTGCAATCCCGTGAAAATATGCCTGGTCTAAAGAGGGCTCTAGCCTTCAGGCCACAGAAGACCGCTTGCCTCTCTGCTCGTAGCCTAAAGAGCTTGTCTGCAGCACTTACAGATTCAAGAGCAAAGGCCCATCTTCCCTTCCAGTTCCAAGCCCTCACAGTTACCAGTCTGGACTGCAGAATTCCCACTCAAGCCTCATCTTCCCCTGCCCCTCTTATGGCTGCCCAGCTTCCGGTCCCCAGGCAGAAACTAAAGCTCCAGGATCCAGGCCTGCTCCCTTCTGGAGGACTGCCGTGCCACGAGGAAGCAGCACCACGCTATTATCCTATAACAAAGGCTCCTAGGATGGAAACGCCCATAAAATCAGACTCACACCAGGCCCTCTGAGTTCAAATAGCTCAAAGGCAGATCCTTCACTCCACCTAAAAATTTCCATCAGTTCAGCTGAGTTAAAGGATGGGGAAAACATTGAAATAGATGAAAATGTCCAGTTCTGCAGTTACTGAGTAGGGCTAGCACAGTTCACCAATTCTAAGTTCTGACAAATGGGTATCTATGGGTCCAGTTAATCCATTTCTAGGTTTGTCAACCAGGTTTGGAAAATACAGCTGTATTGAGCACTAGTCAGTCTCTTTGTCTTTTCTTGATTCCTTTCCAAATATCTGTGTTCACTGTGGCAGACAATCCCTTTCCATTCTTCTCATCAAGGCTTCCATCATCACTGCTGCCTTCCTGTTCCTCCTCCTCTTCCTCCTCCTCTTTTTCATAATCGCTTTCATTCTCTGATTCTTCACTGCTGTCGTTAGCCATTCTGGAAACAAGGAAGGTGAATGGTAGATATGCAGAAAAGCAAAATTAGCAGCTAAATCCCTGGAAGAGCTTAAAGAGTCCAGGCTGAGGTCAGCCACACACCACACAACCCTTTGAGCCTTTCAGGGGTAAGAACAAAACCAAAGAAGGAAAACCTACCTGGCAGGGACCACAAGCCTATTAGGATTTGAGAATTCTTGACCTGAGTCCACATCAAATGGATCTGAAATGTCAAAGGAGAGTGAGCAGGTAGTCAAAAATCTCTACCCCACAGTCAAAAGTAAGAAGTTCCAACACCTTTGTTCAATTCAACACAGCAATGTTAAGTGCCTACTATATACAAGGTATGCTAGACAATGGAGATATAAAAACAAAAATGGTTGGAAATGTTTCCTTCTGTTGGAGGAGAGGGGATAGGACACATACACACAGAAGGATATTACAAGGAAAGTAGACAAGGACCTTTTGTCCCACTAACTGCTGGAGTCGCAGAGATGATCAAATTGGGGAAAGCCTCCAAGAAGGGGAAGATAGGGATTCTGAGAGGTGGCAACAGAAGCAGTACATTCCCAGTGTGGGTGATGACTTGTATAAATACACAAGCAGAAGATGGAATGCAGAGTTCAGGGAACTGCTAGCAGTTCAGTTGGTTTGGAAAGTAAAATAAAACAACAGGAATAGCAGGACAGAAATGTGGGTGGGAGCCAGGAAGGCCTGAAATGCCAGACCAATTAGTTTGCATTGTTTCCTATAGCAAGGTGATACTTTAATAAGGAGAATGTCAAGCCCCAAAAGAACAGGTTCAGATGAAGGTGTTTGGAAATTGTCTGGTAAGAGGCTACACTACTGTATCCAAGATGGTCAGGCCCCGTGGAGGCAAAGGAATCAGTGTAGCCTGATAGAGCTCACCTATTTCCTGCTCAGGTTTCTCGGTAGCACCAGCCAGAAACTCCTTTTCGACCTGTAGCACGTCCTCAGGGCCACTGCAGGCTGCATACTTGTCTAGGAGCTGACCATTCAGGTCCAAAAATCCCTTCCCCCATTTGAATTTTCGTAGCAAGATGATGGCAAGATCAGAAAAGCCTGCCATTTAAGAAAAGAGGAAATCTCCAAACACCAATCACCCTACCCCAAGTACCCTGAAACAACCCTACTGAAATGGGGGCCCAGCAATGACCACAGCAGCCCTCCTCTTCACCAATCAGACAGGGACAGTTCTTCATTTTAAAACTCACCCAGAATGCAAAAAGTGGCAGCAAAAGCCTCCACACAGGACAGCTTGCAGGGCCGCCCATAGTTGACAGGGTTAGCAGCCACCAGGTAGGGCAGCAAACGAAGGTGAGTCCCTCGCATCTTCCCAAATGGAGTTTCTTCTAGTTTGGCCCAGGAGCAGTCAATGACTGCAACTCCACACTGAGCTACCAGCTGTCTACAAGACAACCACAACAGGGGCTGACTCATCCCTGGGGTATAACAGACAGCCTCCCCACCCTCCCAGTCTCCCCAACAAGCTAAAGTCTTTCAATGAGGGAGGTTTCCTGTCCAACATCTGACCCCTCCCTCCATGGGACATGATGTGGGGCTACCGCTTGTTACTCAATGGCTCTAGTCTAATCAGGTAATTCCAGAGCAACAGCTGTTGCTTCAGTCTACAATGCTAACCCTTAGTAGAATCAACAAATCACAGCCTTAAAAGCTGTCTGCTATCGATCAAGTAGCTGACCCTATTGGAGGGGACCCTGTCCCAGACAAATTCATAGCCATACTTATCTGCCGGAGATACGTAGTGGGTGCCCATGGGGCTGAGAATAAGGCCGTTGAACCTCTGATTCAGTCGGAGAGTTCGAACAAGACCTTGTCGGGCCAGCTTCCTGCCAGTGCATTTCCGGGGGTCACAGTGGCCCAGTTCCCACATGGCCAGGGGGCAAGGCATTTCCAGCTTGGATGAAGCACCTTCAGCTGAAGCATCTTTTTCTACAGAGGCTGCACACACACAAAACAGAGCTCAGATACCTGCCCCTTCAGTAGTGCCACAGAAGGATATTTTTGGAAAAGAAAGATGAAGGGAAAGCTCTGGAGCCTCCCTCTGTCCCCTTCCCATCCAAGAAACAGCATGGCTTAATGGATAGGACTTTAGATTTGGAATCAGGAGGAACTGGGTTCAGTTCCCACCTTTAACACTAGTAGTGTGGCTCTGGGCAAGTCGATTTTGTCATATACAAAATAGGGTGGAGGGGAAGGACTAAGTGTTCTTTAAGGCCCCTTTCAGTTCTAAATTTATGATCCTATTGCTGACCCAGATCTCTGCTTCTCTGCTTCCTATAACTCTGAGCCTCTCAAACCCTTTGAACAGGATCATAATCAGTTCTCCACTCCCTCTCAATCCTACATGCATTCATAGGATCATAGATTCAGAGCTGGTAGTCCAGGATTCTTAACCTTTTTCGTGTCCTTTTTGGTAGGCTGGTAAAGCCTCTTCTCAGAATGTTTTTAAACACAGGATTACAAAGGAAACCAATTATATTTTTTAAAAAGTTCAGAGACCCCAGGTTAAAAACTGCTGTAGTCCAACTTTTTTATTTAACAAATAAAAAAATGAAGGCCCAGGGAGGTTAAGTGATTTGCAAGGGGTAATAAGTGGCAAAGATGAGATTCAAATTCAGGTCTCCTGACTTCAGATCCAGAGCTTTTTCCACCACACCATTAAAAACATTCCAAAACAAACCCAATGGAGAAATCAAGTGGAATGGTTTTGTGCCACACCACCCCAGAGTTATCCTTTCAGCCATGACAAATCATTTAACAAGCATTATAACAAATATTAAGCACCTAAAGTGTGCAGGCTATGGAGCAGACCAGAAACTTGAATAAAGGACAGTCCTCATATAACTCGCAGATGGGGGGAGGAGAAGGGACCTGCCCACGACCCCTAACCTTGTGGTCCATCGCTGCAGCTTTCTGACTCCAAGTTCACCTCGTTCCCACCCCCCCACACCCCCTTTTGGAGCTTCGGGACCCTCCCCCATCCCCTTCGGCCGTTTCTGAGAGGGCCATCCCATACCTGAGACCCCAGACACCCTCCTCTCCCCCTCCCACCTCAGTCCCTGGGTGCAGCCCTACGGTCCCGGGAACCCCAGGCCTCCCCACCCCCTCGGGGCATCCTTAGGGCACCCCCCGCCCTGTCCCCGGGGCAGCTCCACGCGCCGTCCCATCCCTGAGACCCTCCGTCACCATCGGCCCCGGCTCACCGAGAAGCGCCGCCTCGACCTCCTCTGTGAAGCTGTCTAAGGAGCGAGCGGCCCGAGAACAGCCGTGAGACCGCCACCGTGCACCCCCTTTGGCCCCCTCGGCACCCGAGCCCCGCGCAGCCTTCCTCCGGCCCATTGCGGGACGGCGGAGGCGTGGTTAGGGAGAGAAGCGCTTCGCACCGGACCCCACAACCCCGGAGCAGGCGTGCGCATGCGCGCCAGGGCGCAGTTTCCGGCTCCGTGGCCTCACGTGACCGACGCCTCTGTCACCACGTGATGACTATCTCAGTAGCGCCAGTGCAGAGGACCATGGACCTGCGCCCCCGGCCTGGGGTCGGGGCCGGGACCGGGACCGGGGCCCGTGCGGCTGCTGCCGCTGCTGCTGCTCTGGTTGGGGCCGCACCGTAAGTAACCTTCACACCCCGGGGAGCCCTGAGCTCCTCTGGCCTTCGCAGCTTCCCCCCACTCCGCCGCCCCCAGGGACCCAAGCTCACTTTATTTCCTCCTTCCCCAGCCCTCACCAGAGCAGGGAAAATGAAGATCGTGGAGGAACCAAACACCTTCGGGTAAGGGACCGGCGTGTGTGCCCCGCTCTGGGACCGCCCGGGGCTGGACACGTCACGAGGAGTTTTCAGTGCTTCAGGGGGATGAAGGCTTTGTCATTGCTGGAGAGGGAAGTGACAGGTGTGAAGTCCCTCGAGCAGGGGCAGATCAGAGCTCGAAACCCAGTCTTCGGCTTCTCAAGTCCAGGGTGTTTTCTGTAACACCATACAGCAGTCCGGAAAATATAAAGCCCCAGCAGGCGAAGAGAATACGAGATTCTGAGCTTGTCGATTGCAAAAAAAAACCCCAAGAACATTTGACTCCATAGAGGGAAGAGTCTTTAAAGACTGTCTTCCACTGTCTCCTGCACATATAGTAAGATCTTTCAGGATTCCTCTACAGAAACAAGCCCCCGAGATGATTGTCCAGTGCTATGATTATCAGTATCAAGTTAGGTATAAAACAAAGAGATTTGCTTATTAAATGTTTGTCAGCGTAGGGCTACACCAGCACATCCATCACAGCGGATAACATTCTGCTTAGAATCCAAACGAGAGATTATAAGATGGTGAGGTTTTCCAGATCTGTATTCGTAGATGACCTTGTGTTTATCGAGTTAAGCCCTGGAGTTCTCTAGGGCTTCTTCAGAGAAATCCAAAGCCACTTAAGAGAGATTATTTTTAGCACTCCCTGAGGAGACACTACTCATGACAGATGGACCTAGAATTTAGTGGTGGTGGTAGTAGTAGTAGTAGTAGTAGTAGTAGTAGAAGAAGATTTGGTCCATCTTTTTAACACCTACAAATAAGACTCTTGATTTGTGAATTATGGAATACCCTTATCTTAGAAGCAGCAAAATATCAAGGAACCTAAAGAGAATTGGGAAGCTATATTGCAAGTGTAATTACTTTGCAGGATATTGCCAACAGGTCTTTTGTGCAAAAAGTTATGGACATGCATTGTTGAAGACCCAAAGGAGGGCCTTCAATATATTGGATAGATCATTTCTTGAATACAACAGACATCATTGTTTTATTTATTTGTACTTATATTGTGCTAGGCACTGGAAGATTTATCAAAAAACACATCCACTTACTAGCTGTGTGACCCTGGGCAGGTCACTTAACCCCAATTGACTTAAAAAAAAAAAGGAAAAAACAAAACACACATCCAAGAATCATCCTTGATGAGAGGACTTGGGTAGGTTGTGATGTAGCTTTACTTTTGGAGGGGGCACGCATAAGGTTAAGATTGCGGTTTATGAAAGTAAGAAGACACTCATTTGCAGAATAGTTGTGAAAACTGTTCCGTAAACTGCTTACTAGAGAAAAGTGAGTTACTGCTGCCATCACTATTATTGCAGATGTGTGCATGCTAAGCAACAAATTATCGCTTCTCCTTTGCTCAACTTCCTTTATAGGATGAGTTATACTAGATGATCTTGAAATGCAAGTCTGGCTCCCAAACTCCTTACTATCATCAATCTGCCATGGTGGACTTGCTTCAACAGACTAGATTTTCTGTGACATTTAAGCCACTGCTACCACTGTCATCCTTATTTGGCCTTGTGTTACTCATCTGTATCATATCTCTGCCTCAGTAAATGTTTGGTAAATATGTGTGTGCACCACGAGTGCTCTGAGGAGGGAGAATCGACTGGGCAGGAATAATATATTCTGGAAAAGCTTTCCTGGAGGAAGTGAAACTTCAGCTAGGCCTTGAACTACAAGCAGGATCTGAAGAGCTGGGAGGTGGTGGTGGATTCCAAGGAGGAGAGTTATCAAGTCAGTGAGCAGATCAGTTTTCTTAGCTTGCTGGCCAGCTTTGTTTATTTTCCCTGACAGATTGAATAACCCCTTCTTACCTCAGACCAGTCGGTTACAGGCCAAGAGAGACCCATCAGCAGCCTCAGGTGAGTTATGACCTGGCTCCCAGATTTCCCCAGCCTGGTCAGGAACTTCCCCTATCTTTCTCTTTACTCTTAAGAGGACCTCTGGAAAGGTCAAAGTAAAGGGAATATAATACACATTTCATTCCAGCTTCTCTTCAGCTCAGACCAGCTGTGAGCCAAGCATTCCTCCTTCCAACTAGATATGGCTAGGCCTGGGATGTTGACCTGAGAGGTCCAATATGATATCCTGGCACCAATCTTTAGTTGTAGTTGGCCTAGTAAGGAAACGTCAGGGGGAGGGAGGAGGTGTTTCATTTGATGTGTGGGACATCTAGACTTTGGGCACTGGAAACCATCTCTTTCAGTCCTCCTGACTTTAGGAAAGATGTCCTGTAACTGACGTGGCTTGGCATGGAAGAACTACTGTATTTATTGTTAATTTTCATTGTTTGGCATGTGTTTCACTTTATAGAAGACATCTGGAAAAAGCTGTTTGGGTTTTTTCTAATCAGTTTGTATTTTATATGCATGTTTAGAATTTGGTATTTAAAGGAATCCTGAGGTGAGTTCTTTGAAATAGGTTGGCAATAAATTCAGATGCAGCATATGAAAATAGACAAGTCCTGGTCTAGGAGGTAGGAGACCTAGATTTGGGTTCTAATTTGAATTCTGATACAAACTTGTATTATTCAAAACGATCACATCTTCTCTACTCTCCAACATTTACTTTCCTCTTCTGTAAAATGAGAAGGGTCAAACTGGATGACCTCATACAGTAATGATCCTTCCGTCTCCAAAAGTTTGATTCCAGTGCTTGCTTTTAGGAAAATCTTCCTGGGTTATTTGTGGCAAATTTAAACCATTAGCCAGTTTATCTTGCCTTTACCATCACCGCTGTCAAAAAGCTTTCTTTTGGGGGGGGGCGCGTCTAGACGGTGAGGTTAAAGTGACTTGCCCAGGGTTACACAGCTGATGAGTGTTGTGTGTCTGAGGCTGGATTTGAACTCAAGTCCTCCTGACTCCAGGGCCAGTGCTTTATCCACTACACCACCTAGCTGCCTCTCAAAAAGCTTTTACTGACACACCTCGTACGTGGAGGTTGCTGTGCTAGTTACTATTGGGTATACAAACAGAAATGAGACTAGCTCCTTCCCTAGACTATCTGACCTGAATATGTGTCGATACAGAGCACATATGTTAAAAAGACAAATCATAGTACTGGGTAGCTTATGCTGAATTAAATGCGTAGTATGGACAGTAAGTACTATAGGCTTTTGACCTGAGCTGTGAAAGATAGGTAGACTTACAACTAGAAGGAACGGCATAAGTTAAGTGATGTAGGGAGGAACACAGGGCAGCTGGGCACCACAATGAATAGAGTGCCAGGCATGACGTCAGGAACACCTGACTTCAAATCTGACCTCAGAAACTTACTAGCTGTGAGACCCTGGGTAGGTCACTTAATCTGTTTGCCTCAGTCTCCCTCCCAGTGTTGTTGTGAGAATCAAACAAGATCCTTAGCACAGCGCTATATAAGCGTGTGTGTGGACAGACAGGTAGAGCCTGTGCAGGGAACATCAAGCAGTCCAGTCTGCCTACGACAGAGGGTTCACACAGGAGAGAAATGAAAAAAGGAGTCTGGAGAGCGTCACGGAATATTTAGTCCTTGTCCTGTGGCGTTGAGGAGATGTTGATTTTTGAGTAAGGAGAGACGTATCAAAGTTGTGTATTCAGAATATTAATCGGATAAGTTTTGTAGGCTGGATAACAGAGGTGGAGACCAGACTATTGCAGTAAGTGGATGAGAATGAGACCTAGTACTAGAGTAGCAATAGAGTACAGGAATGTGAGATGTGGTGGTGGTATAATCAGCTTGTCCTGGAAACGGATTGGAAATGAAAGGGAAAAGTACAAAATGAGATCTTGAGTCTGGGTAAATGGATAAGAGATAGGGAATTTAGGAAGTGAAGCAGGTTGGGTATGGGTTAGTTAATAGGTTTAGTTTTTTAAATGTTGAGTTTAAGATGACGACAGTAAATCAGAGTGGAAATGTCCAGGAAGAAACATAGGGGAGAGGGCAAGATTGGAGCTTTGGGAGTCATTTATATAAACGTGTTGATAGGTCTCCAAAGGAGAAGTGAGAACTAAACCCTAAAGGATACCCATTTGGTTCAAGCTGAAGGAGAATGTAGAGAAGGGAACAGTTAAGACAGGAGGGTAACCAATTAGTGCAGTGTTATTGGAAGCCTAGGGAGGAGAGCATGTAAGTAGATGGTTTATTCACTGGTTTCACGTGTTGCAGAGAGAATAAAGATGAAAACTAAGGGGAGACCATTGAATTCGTCAGCTAGGAGGTCTTTAGTGACTCTAGGTTTCTGTAGAGTGGTGGGATAGAAACCAGATTTTAGGGGGTTGAGCAGACAGGTATTAGGAAAATGTAGGTAGTGAATGTAGGCTGATCCGTTTGACAGTGGGGAAAAAATGGAGACATCAGGGCTGGCAAAAGAATTTTTAAGACTGGGGAGACCTAAAAGACTCCTTTTTAACATCAAAAAATTTAAGACATCACTCCTTCCCACCCTGCCATAGAAAATACATGACAAAAAAAAGTTTCTATGAATTTAGAAATCCTCTTAAATGAATTTCTATTTTATTAATCACAACAGCATCACATGCAGTTAAAAAATTATTACATATATGTGAAACATTATTCAATCTGCATTAGATAGATGTCTGCTTGTTCACTGTACTGAATCCCTCAGAATCTGTT